TTGAGTCGGCTTATGACTTTTAATGCGCATGTTAGATGCTTTTTTAATGCCAAAATGCCCTTTGTTCAGCAGCAGAAGTTTACAGATTTTGGCTTTTAAAATGACAGTGGAAGGAGAACGTTTAACAATGAGTGAGCCTGGGGGCACACACTGTAATGACTAAAGCTGCTGCACCATTATTGTTCAATTGTATCACCTACCTCTAATCGATTGAGAAATACACTTTGCTGCTCAACATCATTGGAATCAGCCATCGTCAATCCACTGTTGCATGAAGGCCACCCCAAGCCGCCGCCGCCACCTCTCACGATTCTGTGATATATTAATCCACCCGACATGCGCACTCAAGATCATTTCATCGCTCCATCTCCCTAGTGGACGTGAACTTGGGATGCGTACCATTCCTTGGCTGCCGCTCCATTGTTATTCTTGACCGATCGGACTTCGTCCCGTCTAGAAAACGCGTTCTGACCGAGCCCGACTTACTTTTCTTGACGGTTTGAGTGATGTCATTAACCTGCATATGTTGTATAATCCAAATGTTTCTCTGTCTGCCTCTCAGTGCAATTCTAGTCATGCATATCTCCATGTTTCTAAATCAACATGACAAGTCAAGTTGCGAGCATAAAGAAAACTGACCTATTTGCTCTCGCCTTTGCTTGAGTCTGGAATATTTTTTTGGTTTTGTTCGGTAAACCGCAAAGCAAATGGGAAAATAAATACAGAGAGAGAAAGGAAGTAATGCTTCGTAGTTACCGCATTGACTGCGGTATTTAGGGGCGTATCCAGACGTGAGAAATCTGTATGCACAGTGGAGGCACAGCAGGGTCAGGGCTCGTGGTGTCGGCAGTGCGTGGGTGGGGAGAGAGAAAGGCAGAGTTCAGGTGGGGAGCGACAGAGAGAGCCGTGGCGTTGGAACAATTTTTCGATCTGCAGCTGATATCTCTTTTTCCACTGAACAACCGGGCTGGGAACGGTTCAGGAGGTGGCAGTTGTCTTTGTTTCCACTGCATAAGACAAACTGACGAACCGTGCTGCCGATGTCGCACGCAGTGAACGTGTCGCTAGTGCTGACCCCGGCCCTGCTTGGCCCCGATGCAAATCAGACGTCTTGTGAGACCAGCCTATCACAGTTTGGATCCGACTCAGCACAGCAAATAGCCAGGGGAAAACCATCCACCACCGCAAGGGCGCCGCGCTGGCTCGGCTCGGATGTGCTGGTGGAAAAGGAGTACGGGTCTCACCACTGTGTTGTGAGCCGCTTGCTCCATGCATAGCACGCGTGCTGAAGCGTGTGATGCACGTGTGAACCGTACGTTGCACTTTAGACGCATGCAAAGCACCTGTGCTCACATCAATGTATTTATTTCTCATATATAATAGTTTACGTTTTCCATGGTATTCTCAGGCCTCATTTTTTCAGGAGGGTCCTGCTTTTGGTGTGTTTGGAAAATTCGCGTTCTGAGTATTTGTGCAATGTGTGATGAACGCAGATATGAAGAACGCTCAAAAGCCACTAACATAGAGCGTTCGAAAACCAACTATTGAAGCGTATTATTTGGTTTTCAGATAGTCTATAATTATATGTAGAACTAGCTTTTTTGCCCGTCCAAGGACGGGTATATATTGCAGTAAATCTGAAATATTCAAGAGAAAAATTGTTCAGCTCATGATTATTAATGAGGGGGGTTGCCCCATGTGGAGTGACGTCACCCACTAATGATTATTGGGGAGGGGTGCGGCATGTGGAGTGACGTCACCCCCTCATTGTTATTGGGGAGGGGTGCGGCATGTGGAGTGCGAGACCTTGTGCGTCAGTGTAAATTTCCACGAGTACATGAATATTAATGAAGGTGGGGGGGCTCTTTTGCAGTGACGTCACGCACGGATGTAGCACTGCTGCGTAGATTTATTTTTACCGTCCCTTTCTGTAAAGAAACTTCATATTTTAAGCGACTTTGCGTAATCAATTATTTAATTGAGCACGTTTTTTCCTGCAATATTTTGCTGTCTTTTCTTGGATTTTCTGTTTGCACTTAGTCACATATTCACTTTAAGATGTTTTTTGTTCATGTTTTTGTTTTTTGTTTGTTGCGGTTGCACCCGATTCAAGAGCCGAATGGCTCACAGGGCTATGCCTAATAAATGAACTTGAACTTAAAAACGGGTGATATCGACTGCGATGCTGCACCACGGGCAGCAGAAGGCAGTGCAGTCGAAAACATTGTTGTACCTTACTTATATGCTCCCGTATCTATTGTCATCTGTGCTCCTCGCCTTCACTGACCTGCGTAGTAAAGTACGATCAAACAAGCCTTAGGTTCTCATCCAGCAGTGGATTGACGAAAGGGCTGCACATGTGCGTGTACAATATTCCACCGTGTATGCATGTATGGTCACCCTTGAAATGGAGAATTATTGTCTCAGAGTGGCCTCTCACCTGATTCTCAATAAAAGTCACCGATTGATTTATCGATTGCAAAGCAGAGCATAACGGGCATGTGTTTATCCCCCTGTTATACAATCAACTGAGCAGTTGTGTGGGCTCGGGACACGGGGACTTTTAGAGCCAATAAATGTCACTGCGAGACTTAGCGCCCCCCATATAATCTGGTTGCTAGGTTGTCTGCCTCACTTTCCACAGGAACGGGACAAGGGGCCCTGAAAGTTCATGCCCAGAGCTAATCGTTGATTCCTTCGCACCATGCATTCCCCACCTAAGGAAATAATCACCCCTCGCCATCCTGCCCTGTGTATGCTTGTCCGATGAAAGTAAGGCTATGGCAAGCAATGATCCATTTCACACTGCTGTGTGAACCGGAGGTGAGACTTGGCCCATAACAGTGGCGGATGCAAAAAGCTCATCACAGGCGGTTGTTTTCTTGGAAAGACACGATAACAAACCAATCAACCGTTGCTAATGTCCTTCACCGAAGAACACCGGCCAATTTGTGTCCCAAATGGCACATTTACCACGTGCCGCCAGAAAAGAGAGTGGAGCGAGCCTTCTGGTGGACACCAGAGGGTGGGCAACACTAGCGAGGATGACCATTGAGCTGATCCAGAGCGAGCAAAGGGAGATAACATCTGTTAGGTGCACTTGGGAGGAGCACCTGCGGATTGGCGTCGGATCGTGATGAGTTGCGTCAGCAAGACGGGATGGACCTAGCCAGGACCTAGGACCTTGTATGAATACACTGTGTGGAATGTCGGGTGAATGATTAGGTTGTGCGTTGGTTGCATGCCCAGAGTGCAATGTTTGGGTTAATGCATAGGTTGAGTTGCTGTGGTATAGATAGCGTTGTGTTGGGCAATGGTGTTTGTGACTACACATGCAATGAGTGAGGATTGAACATTCTGTCGAGGTACCATCGTCATCTTTCTCGGTTGACTCGCCCTTGCTGGACATCTGTAAAAGAAGAGCTTCATAGCTCATCGGATTCCTCCAGTCTAAATAAAGATTCTGATTCTGAGTTATTTTACTTTTTTGTAGCCTTTAAACTATTCTTGAGAGGGTTGATCAAAATGTTATACCGGATTGTGGTTTTCATTTGTAAAAAGAGAACCAAAAGAATATGATTCACTCTTTCTGTTATTGTTCATAAACAATAACAGAAACAATTACACATGTTATTGCCCTTCTTGGTTCTTTCGGTAAAGTGACTTTACCGAAAGAACCAAGAAGATGAATCCCTGCAGCCACGAAAGCTTTAAAACATGTTATTGCATTATTTTAAAAAATATATAAAATGCAGATTAATATGATAATCATTCACAGCCCTTAGTCATTCCACGGCTAAAGGAAGGCCTCCTAACGGGATCGTTTGACTGTACTTCACCAACCCAGTTCAATTCTGGTTGTGGATTGGTGGGGCCCAAGTCCGGTTCAGACATCACTCAACAATGATGACAGTCACGGCGGGGTATAGAATTTTCTGGGTTCATACCGCAGCGTGTTAACCACTGTTCAACCACTCCCATCGATGATTAATGTATTTAAAACCGAGTACATTATAGTGTAGGTTGCGGAAGCATGAATAATTAAATGTGGACGTAAGTTGTATAATGCATCTGTGTGCGCGTGTTCATACTGCACACGATGTGGCCCTTTTGGGGATAATTACATTAAGCAGAATACATTCATATTCACTCAATATTGGAATCAAACACTCATTAATATTACTCACTGCTGTCAAGCTATAAAATGTAAATTGAAAATTTTAACAGATGCTGCCTAATAGAAAACCCTCACGATCGAACATGCCCATCATGCGATGTTCAAATTTTCATCTTCCTTTTAAAATGTTAAAATGGTCAAATTAAGCCGAAAATGTCTTAGCCAGAAAATATGTAAAAGTGTTGTATTTTAATGTGTAACACATGTGAATGTTTTTTGGGCATATCTCCAAGATGATACAGCTGAGTGTGTGAAATATAATAAATAAAACAATACCTTATGCCATTTAAATGTTATTCTAATATAACAAAACAAACAAAAGTATTAATATTCAAAAGAATGTCTACCGTGTTGCCGGAGGATTATTTTGAAATAAACCTCAGAACGATGTAGATTTTTGTTGTCAGTGCTCGTTAAAATTTCATTACGACAGCAAATAAGGCCACCGCTTTTTGCTGCAGACACGGAAATTGATGTTTGATTTTGTAGAATTTGGATGTTAGTCTTAATGCCCATTTCCAATGCGCTTCGCCTCAGTTGCTGTTTGAGTAACACATGGAAGCCATTGTGTATGTTTTGTTATTGTGCGTGGCTTGGTAAATGTCAACAAAGTGTTTTTTTCTTATTTAAAGACTTTTGAGTATGAAATTACATCGTACACAATCATGCAATAGATAGACGCGTTTGAGTAGACGAGCGTGATATTCTTTAACCTGGAAATATTCCTGCCCGCAAGAATATCGCTCCTGCGGGAAGGTCCGCGGAGCTTTGTTGTGATTGCTGTTGTCGTTTTTGGCTTGAAGTGGGCGCGTGTTGTTTTCAGAATTACTACCGATTGGGTCGACAGCTGGGCAGTGGAAGCTTTGGGACGGTGTACGAGGCCACTCATGTCGAGACCGGAGTCAAATGGGCCATCAAGACTGTCAACAAGGAGAGGGTGAGCTCAACACTGACACGTGCCCTTTTCAGCGCTCCCAACGATTGTCTACTTACCATCAGTCACAATCAAGCCCTCGTGCCAAGAATGCTCTAAGGCAGGGGTCGGGAACCTTTTTGACTGGGAGAGCCATAAAAGCCAAATATTTCTAAATATATTTCATTGACAGCCATATAGTATTTTTAACGTATAATAAATTAAATATGTCTTACTTTTAATGCGACTTCTGGTCACGGGACCCGTGACCCGAGAAATTTTATCTTCAAAACTAATTTCTGTTTACTTTAAAATGACACAGTATTACTAAGCAATATCACAAGTATTTTAAAATCAGTTCCAAACTGATTTTATTTTTTATAATTTTTTTTTTCAACTCAAAATTGTCTGGGAGCCATATGCCATCACCGGAAGAGCCATATATGGCTCGCGAGCCATAGGTTCCCGACCGCTGCTCTAAGGGGTGGGGGGGCGGTGCCTGCCAATGTATCTGTACTATCTTCCTTATTAAGAGTAGTATTGTTTGAGGCTTCCGCACGCTGTGTGAAAGGTGACACTTTTTTCAGGTTGTATTTTTGTACACACATTGGATGTGCCACAATAAACCACACTTTTATCTCACGAGCTGAGAATGGCACACCGCCATTGTCATTAACACTGCCTTAAGATAGGAATATAAACTCAGTGTGAGCTACGATTTTGGACAATATATATTTTTCAGAGTGGATAAAGGCTGCTGGCTTTCTTAAAGCCTTTGAGAGCAAAGATGTATTCTCTCTGCTTTTCCTGCTCTGAATATGGGACATTGCCCCATGCATTGAATCCATCTGTGTGGAGCTTTCAGTGCCAAACCCTCATATGTGTGGGCAATTGAAGGTGCTTCTGTTTTCATGTCAAGCAATCCATGTGGAATTGCGCACACATTCCAATGCAAGACCCTCATAATGCATTGTGTTTAGGATTTTCTAGGTACAAAAGGACATTATAAATACTAACTTGATGTAATGTAAATCTCTCCAATGTATTTTCCGGGTTGTTACCACATGCTGTTCGGCACGGTGTCCTACATTTCACAGTATTGGTTCAAAATAAGCAAACAATACTAAATGTTAATATGTTCCAAAGCACACTAATTATATTATTTGATTAACAGCCACACATAATTTAAGTTGAAGTATAGCTGCATTCAAGATGTGCATATCCATTGCAGAAACTTTGTCATAAAGTGTAAGTGTTCAAACTTAACGGTCGTACACTTATGTAACCACAGGAGGCCAATAACTTAAAATTAAATTCACCTCCGATAGTTAAATCAGACCAGACCCCATAACGTTAGAATTTACATTTATGGGCCTAGGTATAAAATATTAATTGGCAGAGCCTTCAATTTAACCATGGAAAGCAATGAATAAGTTACTTATTTAAGTCCTTCATATATATATGAAACTTTGGAATTGGCAACCATCTTGCCAGAATATAAATTTTGCTTGAGGTGCGAGATCGTGCGAAACACGGGTTGTTGATGGCAATGAGTTCAAGTTCAAGTTCATTTATTAGGTATAGCCCTGTGAGCCATTCGGCTCTTGAATCGGGTGCAACCGCAACAAACAAAAAACTAAAACATGAACAAAAAACATCTTAAAATGAATATGTGACTAAGTGCAAACAGAAAATCCAAGAAAAGACAGCAAAATATTGCAGAAAAAAAACACCGTACACCAACGTTGTGTGCAAAAATCCTAGTGGGATGCAAGTCAAACAACAACAACAACAACCACAAGACAACTTAGATTAAGGGCATCAGTCTAACTCTGTACTAGAACAAACAAACATGGCCAAACCAATACACTTTTCGAAATCACCAAAATAAAGCAATGAGGGCCTTCATTGTCTGGGGGTCGCCTTCGTTGTCTTCCTTCCTATATTGACCCCCCCCTCTCTCTCTGCACCCTTGATAATATCAACGAATCAGTCATTGGGGGTGGCTGGGTGGATCAGTGTCTTGACATGTATGGTGGGGTTTTTTATTTTTACTCTTAATTTGGGATACACAGAGTGGCGCAAAAGTCAGGATACATCGGGTGATTATATTTTAACAAATCACGCAAGGCTATCTATTTATTTTAAAATATTCAAACTGACTGCCATTAACATTAAAGCTCCTGATAACTTTTTTGGCAGAGGAAAATCCAATATTTCTGTCAGGGTGCAACGTATTAACGTCTTCAGCAACTGATTGGCACCTGCTGCCTTCATCTTCTTTAGCTCGTTCGTCTTCAGTCAATTTTCTTTCCATTTTTAAATTTCATCTTAAGAGGAAGACAAAACATAGCTATTAATAATGATAATTGATCAAATATGAACTGATATAATAAACATTGATTGTTTTTTGTTTATGCCAGTGTTAAAATATTGAAATTATCCTCTGTGTCCTGACTTTTTGGGCCACTCTGTACATACATATATTTCTCCAATATACTAGAAGTTTAGGATACGGGATTTGTATACAGTCTAGTAAACTCTAACTTCTTCTTGGTTCTTTCGGTAAAGTCACGTAGAAGGGAAGTAATAAAATAATAAAAATAAAACATAATAAAATAATTCTCACGACGTTTCGGCCACAACACAAGCAGCCGTCCTCAGGCGAAGACCAGGTCTGTCGAGGCGACAGCGTCTAAAAATTTATTGAAATTATCCTAAAAATTTAGACGCTGTCGCCTCGAGAGAATTATTTTATTATGTTTAATATTTATTATTTTATTACTTCCCTTCTATGTGACTTTACCGAAATAACCAAGAAGATGAATCCCTGCAGTCACGAAAGCTTTAAATCGAAATTTAAACTCTAACTTGTTTCCCAATAGCCACAAAACGAGATTCCGCACATCCTCGATCAGGTCACTGTTGTGGTATTTGGTTAACAGAAACAAAAACCAATAAACAATCGCCTGGCATTTTTTTGACAACGGCCCTGCTTCAAAGCAGGGAGAGTGAGAAGAGGGCCCTTCTTCTGAACAACAATGGACACCATTGCCCAAAAACGGCAGTCCGTTATTTTATTATTTCTGTTGAACGCCCGGCGCTACTGATGAATGTGGTCAGTGTTTTTTAGTACTTGTACTTGTACACCACTGCCAGCACGGATTGGGCTGCTCCTGCGTGTGAGCAGAGCCCATTGTCCGCTCCGCTGTGGCCGTCTCTGTGCTCTTGTTTCACTTTGGTGGCGTGGCAGGGAGACACGCTGCGGGATGCAAGGGAATGGTTTTTGGAGGGTTTTCTTTTTCCTTCCCCACAACGGTTACCGAGCGCAGGCCCCAGAGGCCCAAGACACCAAGCTGCCAGCAAATAAGGAGCCCTATTAACGTTGCAACAAAAAAGAGTGAATACCTTTGAATTGAGTAAGGTTGTAAGAAATTGGGAGAAGAGATGATGGGAGGCAATTGCATAGTCGAGCAGTGCAAGGTAAGAAGCAAAACGAGAAATGCTTTCACCTGCGGTACGATGGACGACGGCGGACGAGACGAAATGGTCATTCTACTGAAATTGAGTCCTCAGCATGAGCCGAGGAATCAATGAGTGAAGTTCGTGGGAACATGAACCGTGGCAGTGGTGACAGACGGGTGATCAGGAGGCGACTGAACGCCAGTGAGCGAGTGACCAGAGTGAATCGGTGATTGCTGGATCATCAGTCAACCTGATTGCTTTACGTTGAATTCTACCAAGTGCGGTGAGGTAGGAGAGCCACGTCCTCTACACCAGATACGACAGTAGGAGTCACACTTTCGGCTGACTTTATGCTTCGGCATAGGAGTGATAACAATAGCTAAGCGTACCGTGGCTTTAAGAATTCCATAACACACACACACTACCACCTCACTTTACCCAGAACAACGTGGATCTCTGCTCCTGTGTACCCAGGCCGGGAGCTCTGGGGTACGGCTCCTGGAGAGAGAGGTGGCCATTCTGAAGCGAGTTCAACATCAGAACATCATCCACCTGGAAGAGGTGCTGGAGACCCACAAGGTAAATGGGATACGAGTCATGATCGTGTCTCTCAGCGGCGCTCGCTATGCATACAGTCGTTGCTATTTTGGTTATGATCTTGCAATTATAGTGTTCGACTCACATTTGGAAGGCTACAATCCTTTCAAGGGTCAACTCAGCCCCATAATCCCTCTGGGGGTGGATAAAACAAGTCTAACTTTTTGGGAAGTTGGCAGTGGTCATCATATAAACTGGCCCTCACCCATGGGAATGTAGAATTGCCTTTGCTGGCTAAGGGCCACCAATAGAAATAAGTGGCAACTGAATGCTTGTTTGGGCATGGAGACACTTTGACTCGATCGTACTTTGTGGATGTTTTATTTAACTAAGAGCAGCACATGCAGTCTTTCACTGCTGCCAGCATCGTTGTGAGTCTTCTGCCAGACGAGGGCTTGTGTCATCTCTAAAGGACAGCACGTAGTCTGCTGCTGCAGCTGTTGTTGGCATAAGGCAAACTGCTAGAGATCCATTGCACTATTAACTGACCTTGCCTTGTAAGGAATTTGAAGGCGTTTTGACAACATCCACAGGTATGGCACGACCTCGCATGCTGGGGGGAAACGAGATACCTTAAGTTCTGTTTTATCTCTCGGTTAATTGCAGGGGAAGCTGTTTGCTGGTGTGAACTGCAGGTTGTGTTAACCGTTTACCTGTCCTCCGTTTCCTTCCTAATCCCCTGGTATGTGGCACTCTGGGGGCAAAGGCCACCGGTGGCCATGTCTCGGCACCTCTGACACTTTTACAAAAAAAAGCTACTTCCATTGGCCGCGCCTGTCAAAGAGAATTAAGGAATGCTCTTTCACTTCTCAAAATTGGGTCTCGGCGGAGAGCCGATTGCTGTGCCGACAGCTTCGGTGTGGCTGCCCTCTTGAGTGGGTAATGTCTCTAAACCATTGCTGCTGTTAGTCACAGGATACTGCTGTTTTTGCACGGTTCCGTGGCCATGTAAGCTATCTGGGCGCTCAAACCTCAAGCCGGGGTTCGCTTTATTTCTATTGCCTAAGACATTGATGGATTTGCAGGCGAATTGGTCCACGTAAAAAACACCAAAATGAAATTGAAACCCTTACGTTAATCGAGAGTTACACTTATAGATTTAAAGTCTCCCTTTATCAATAAATAAATGACATTAGATTAACAGTGCTGTCGCAGTGTCATGCTGACGTTGAAAGTGGCCCAAATCAGCCGCATATTTTTCGTCGCATATATTTGTGTTAAGTTTTGTGGTGATTTCCCGGCCATGGCTAAAACATTCTGGGAAGGGACACAATGATTGTCCAATGGTGAAGCTGCTCCCTTCTGTGTTACGTGTTCTGGCGATTTCCCGGCCATGGCTAACACAAGTTGTAAATGACATCTGAACCAGTCCTCGCAACCCCCTTCACCAACCCACAGGGACGACCGCGGTGAAGTATGGTCAAACGGGTCCCGTGGGCACGGCCAATTAATTGACCCAAGGGTTGGATATTATTTACTCTTTGTTCTTTGTGTTATGAAGGATAACCAAATCGATTTTGCAAATCCAATTTTCAGATACGATGAATGAGCACTTACATCAAAGAAAACGTTCCTCAAAAATCAATACCTTTTGATCAAGCATGGGAAACGCACCTTTGTTGTAACACCAGTTCAACGTGAAGCCTTGTACAAACAATAGTACTGTCATGTGATTATTTCCAGTGATATTTTAATTACTCCACAAAAGAGAATTGGTGAGGAAATTGCTCCACACGGTGTCTTTTGGCAGTACTGGTTTTATTAGGCAAGATCTGTAGGAAAATTCGGAATATAATATGGACTCGCCTGTCCCATTGTGAACACAGCCAAGTTGAGAGTGAATAACGCAGGCGTTGTGAGGGTGTCTTGTTCCTGCTGTGATTAATGTTTGATGGCTGAGCGACGGATGAGGATAGTCTGAATGTCTCCGCACCACAATACATTGCGCTAACAAGGTCCAGAATAAAGAGCAAAGTAAAGTTGGAATATAATACACGCTGTCATTTAAATACACTCGTAGTGCAGCACACGATAGGCATTGGCGCGTTCAATATGCCGTTCTTTTGTACAATTCCTTATTATTCAGTTGGTTTACAAAAAGAATGTTCTCACATTTGCTTTGGTCCTGGCTGTAAATCTTCGGCTTAGCAACATCGTTGAGATATGTAGTAATCACGCTGTAAAGTGCATTATGGATGCTTCACTAAATGCATGGATTAGCAATACAAAAAATTTGAATGGGCGATTTCCTTCTTTTTACAAAGGTGAAGGTTCAGTGGTTTGCATATTAGGTAGACTCTTTTCATGAGAAGGCTGTCAGATGAATGTCGAATAATTCCCTGCTGTTCATTATACACATATATAAACCATTTAAACACGTATTCATTTACAGACTCATCATGAAAACATTTTTCGAACCATATCTTTCTATGTTAATGAGAGGCCACTAAACAATGAAAAATGTAGTCGTAAAACACGAGTTCACATTTACAACAACATTTTATTTAAACAATGTTTTTGACTGCCAATCTAACATAAAATAAACACATTTAATCATTAACACTGAACGTCTCAATAAGGCGTTTTTTTACGCGGAGAGATGTATAAAGGAGGCTTGTTTATATATTTTTTTTAATGAGGGAGAGACAGATTTATGCAGGCGACACATTCTCTACTCATCTACGTGGTTATTTATCTTCGCCACAACAATGCGAACATCTTTATTGGGTCGTTGTGCGTTTTAAAATTAGGCGAGCGAGTCGTTGATGTCACGTGGCCACAAAGAGATTCCAAGATGTCGCTGCTTTATTTGCTCAAACCAGTCACTGGGTGGAGCTCTTCGTTTACTGTCAGGGCTCTCCTCTCGTATTCGTACAAAAGGGAACAACAGCTTCACCATTGGACACTCGCTGTGTTCCTTGCCACAATGTTTTCTCTTCTTATTCTTTTTCTTCTAATTTTCTCATTTCCAGAGTCAATATTTGGTAGTGAGTCTTCCCATCCGTTTGAGCACCTTGGTCAGATGTGTTGCATTTTGAACACATCATCAGCAGCAGCAGCCATGGTCGGTCCCCCACGTATATGCACGAGATGTCAAATAAGCAGTGGTAATCTCAGTCCATCCACCCTACGTAGACCGTTAATAGAAGCATCACTTGCTGGAAATTCTAACAGTGATCATTCTTTGGAGAGAATTGCCTCTGACATAGAAATGTGGGATCTCCTTCATTGGCTCAGGGCTGCCCAAGTTAAATTAGCATTTGAGCACAAATATACTTTCACCTTTGCCTGTAACAGCACACACAGGCTGCCTCGTATTGAATGCTATTGGTCTTTCTACCCCAATGGAGTTCATTTGTGCTATTGGAATCATTGCATGAGACAAATAATCCATTGGGAAATCTCAAATGGCAGTGTTACCCATGTGTTTCTGAACAGCCCACACAACGCCATTTGTCACGGGATTTCTGAACATCCTGCAAGTGGCGTATTTATCTTTTACGCTTTCGCACGGGCTCCCCTATGAGATCGTCGTATGTAAGTCAAGCCAATATTACGATTGTGCGGGACCAAAATGTTACGTGATGGGTTTTAGTGTGTGTCGTCACTGGTGGCTGAACCGAGACCATCAACTTGACAGGTAAATTGGTCATGGTGTAGGCCAGCAATTACTTGCTCACACCACCCTTGGAGGAAGGGCCTTCACGAGAGAGAGAGCTCAAGAGAGACCTCCGAAAAGGCATTTTGACATCATCTTCCAAGCGGTCCAAGACATCTTGGAAGAGGTGTAAATATCCGCACATTTTCCCACCACAGTTTGTCGTCCTCCCCCCGCACCTCCGACAAGCACGGTTGGCTACGTACGATGCGAAAGAAGTTCAACAATACACCACATGCTTATGCCGTGGCCCATCGACCTAACTTGCTTAACACGTGAGAACACGTTTTTAATTACGGGTGAGCCTGCCCGAATTGAAACCCGGGACCTCACCTGTGAGCCGCCGCGTCCACCGCTCCAGGCTGTCTTCTTTTTTATTTAACGAAGTGCCTGCGGCCGCGTTGCGCGTGCAGCGAGTCTACCTGGTCATGGAGCTGTGCGAGCTGGGGGAGCTGCGGGCCGTGCTGGAGCAGAGGAAGCGGCTGTCGGAGGCCGAGGCGAGGCACGTCGCTCACAGTCTGGCGGCAGCCATCGCGTACCTGCACAAGCACGGTGTGTGGCCCGCGGTGGAAAACGTCAAGGCGGTGGTTCATGTCGTTTCGTGAAGTTGGGAGATTTTTACATGCTCGTCCACGAAGTGTGTGAGTTCGCGTGTTTGTTTGTTAAAATGTAATCTTGAGTCGACGGTTGATTGTGAGTGGACGGCAGTCGTCAAGCGTGGCGATTGCTAACGACTGGCTACGATTTGACGAGACAAAATTTGAATGAAAACGCAGACGAAGATAATTTAGTCACATAATCAGAGACTGCAGTGCACTAAGGAAGATCAAAAAATGGTAATTGGCTATTTACATTTTTACTGATGTCACTTATTGTCGAACTTGTCAACTAACTTGTCAATAAATGCGTTTTAGTTGTAGTCCTTCCCCAGCACCGCCGATTAGCGTGGTTGGCTACGTGCGGTGCGAAAGAAGTTCAACATACATACATAATTTTGAGGGGGTAACATTGCATGCCCCTCACACCAACGATTAATTACTAATAATGACTAATAGTGACTGCTCTAGGCAATGAGACTTTGAAAATGACTCGATGAAATTCACAGACTTATGGCTTGACTAAAATTCCATTGACTAAAATGAAAAAAGGCTGACTCCATGAATGTCAAATCTAACGCTCAAACGAGTGTTGGGGCTGCATTCAAACTCCCATCGGTAGCCCGAAGCCAGCAGTGTAAATTCCACATCCACGCGGTGGAAACCAGTTTCTGTATATAGTGTGACCACTGTTGACGTCCCACAAAGTGGAATGCATTTGATTCTAGATTTAAAGCTTTCGTGACTGCAAGGATTCATATTCTTAGGTTTTTTTCGGTAAATTCACGTAGGTAAAAAAATAAAATTAATAAAAGTAAAAATAAATCAAAAAAATCTCATTTACTTGATACAGCAAGCGTGCTGTGACGGTTCCACCTGAAGACGGAAGCTTGTGTTGCCTCCGAAACGTCATAATTTTAATTTTTTATTTTTATTTTGTTTAACTTTTATTAATTTTAATTTTAATTTTTTTACCTACGTGATTTTACCGAAAAAAACCTAAGAATATGGAATGCATTTCATCAACCGCAGAGGGATGATGGGCTGAACCAGCCTCCATTTGAACTTGCAGCCTTCCAACTTAACCAAAGAGCTAACCAACCGGATAATAGTGATTCAATTTTATTTACCCAGGAAAGCCTCACTGGGTCCATAAGACTTTTGTTAAGGCAAGTCCTATTAAGGATGTTTGGCCAGGTTCTTTCTTGTGTATTTGAGCTTATAGCAGGAAACGAGTGACCAGAAAAAAGAACAAAAACAGCTCCTGTAGGCCACTGCGAGGGAAGAATACTCGAAACACTCAACTCCTGCAGAGATAGTTCAGAAGCATTCTCGCTGGACTGGTTGTCACATGTTATCACTGCTGAAGTGGACTGATTTTTGAAAAGAAAATAGCGCAGCTTGGTATTTTCAGCCTTAGTCATGAGCCTCGTGCGGAGAAATCAGATTTCTCCCCGTGGAAATCACGCATTAACACATCACTCCACGCCTCCTCGGTACTCACGGCAGACAAAACAATCCTGCACGCCGTGAAAATGTCATTAACTGTGACTTTTATAATGAGCTTAAGAAAATAAAGGGCCACCTGGACGAATGGTGAAAAACGAACCCGCACAATTCCTTAATATGAAAAAATTTTGACCTTCCATTGGAACCTCATTTGCCAGTAAAAAATATGATAATTGGTTGTTTACCCTTCTATCTGGCAACAAAACTGACACCTTTTTTACAAGGAGTCATGTTTGCATAGACCACAATACCTGCAGTCATAATGCAAACAAAAAACATAACTCTGATAATGTATGCACTGTCCTTGAAGTTGATTGGTCCACACCCGAGACAGCTTTCCTTAGAGCCTAGTCTCACATGGGTTGGACCAGATGACGCCAAAAGGCGCACAACTCAAAGACAATGCACCATCAGAGTATGAGAGCTCGGGGTAAGCATTAAAAACCATTGGAACCTCATTTGCCAGTAAAAAATATGATAATTGTTTTTTTACCCTTCTATCTGGCAACAAAACTGACACCTTTTTTACAAGGAGTCATGTTTGCATAGACCACAATACCTGCAGCCATAATGCAAACAAAAAACATATCAGAGTTATGTTTTTGTGTTGCGGAAGATCCTAAGAGTAGCGGAAGAGAGATCTCACGCGAGCTTGTGTGGTTCCATTGTTTGTGTCTCGTGTTTATGGAAGTGGGATTGAGTTGTGTTGTGTTGCGTGTTGTCATCCGGGTTAATCTGGGATTATGTGTGGGTGTGTTGTTGAATAATTCACAGTAGTTGCTGCTTTGTTTTATTATTTTATGAGTAATGTAATGTTTTATTGACATATTACCAAGAGACACTATAAACATTTCACCTAATGTTGTAACTGCAGTAATGAAAACAAGTTTCATGGGCACAAGATGTTTACAAAAATATTTGATACAAAAACATACTTCAAGATTTTAGCTATTTTTGGACTAATTGTTAAACATCATTCTTATATACTAATGTTTGTTGGCATAGCATTACGAGGTATGACTCCACTGGACACTACGTAATGGAGGATGTCCTTAAAGACATTTATTAAAGACTAGCTTGTTTGCCCGTCCTAGGACGGAAGCTGTAACCCAGCTGTAATATTTACGAAAAAATCGGGCAGAGTATAATTGTATCTTGTGTAAATTTAATGGCAGTAAATCTTGCACGAAAGTATGTCATCAAACACTTCACTGCATTTCACTGTAGCACTGTATTAATGGAAGTGAAACTGCCACAAAACGAAGTCATAAAACATTTCACTGCAGTTCACTGTAGCACTGTATTAATGGCAGTGAATCTGCCACAAAACTATGTCATAAAAAACCTCACTTCATGTCAGTGTAGAACTCTATATAACTGACCTTCAATTTGTTCAAATTCACTGCTCTGATACTTTATCCTCTTCTGCTTCCGGTCGCTGGGGTTGATCGTGTCAACACAGAGCGGTGGCACAGTGGTTCACACACCCCGAGCAATACCCCGGCCAGCCAACTGAGTTTGATTCCTGACCGTCGCTACTCTCGGTGGCGAGTGATATGTGAAGCGGTCCTGGGCCTTGCAGAGTTCGACTCAGTCTTAAAAGTGTCGAAAAACCCAGCACTTGTGGCAATCAAAATCGGCCAGGTTTGGTGTTGGTCACATGACCCTTATTAGGTGCTCGCTTTCAGCACTTAGACCAGTGGTTCTTAACTTTGTTGGAGGTACCGAACCCCACCAGTTTCATATGCGCATTCACCGAACCCTTCTTAATTGTAAAAATAAAATATGATTTTTTCAAATTCAAAACATAGGTATATGTTTTACTGGTGCACAATCATTTGAGTCGGGTGTGTGTCTTAACCTCCGCCGAACCCCTGAGACTGACTCACCGAACCCCTGGGGTTCGATCGAACCCAGGTTAAGAACCACTGACTTAGACCTAACAGGGAATGGCTTGACGGCGACATCAGAGCCTGGTGCCAGGAAGATGTGTGGCACTCCTCAAGCAAAATTGGCGCAAAACAAGAAGGTGGAAACAAATGATGAAATGTGCAATGGACACTCTACGGGCTATCAGCCCATAGATCGTGATGATCATGATGATAATGTCAGCACTGGCCCCTACAGTTCGTTAAAGTGCAGTCTGTTAAAGGTTGTACAGGGGATATTTGTACTTAATACGATAGGAAATTTGTACATCTTTTGCCACCAGTTGGATGATGTGAAATGTGGGTCTATACCGCCACCTGCTGAGTGGCACGTAAAATATGGAATTTAAAATCAAAGCGTCGCTGACACGTCTACACACAGGACATTAGTTCACATTCTTCATATATATTTTAAACCTGGAGCCTATTAAATAAAAAATACTTATTCGTGATGAAAACTGCATAGCCTGGAGCGCTGTTGGCTCACGCTGGGTTTTTTTTTTATTTCCGTCCAAGAGAAAAAATTATACTCGACATTTTTTTTCTGCAGTGCCGTTTGGCTCATGGAGGGGGCTAATGCCAAAGATGGGAAACTCGCAGAAGCCGCACGTGGTTCCGGCTCTGATGTAGAGTGTCCGACCCTTTGATTGCCGACGGGAGAGGCTCGGAGAAAACTCGGAGGTGGGCGTTGCGGGAGGTCAATCCCAAGACCTTGAGTAAGAGCATGAGGTCGAGCATAAGCTGTCTCGTGGTTTTCCTGTGCTCTTTGCAGGGACCTCTGATGAGACTCCCACAGCCATCCTTAAGATGTGTTAATGAAGCCCACGTGATGTCCGCTATAGCAAGGGTCCCGTTAAACAAAAGGTTGTTTGATAAATAGAACCCCTCCACAGGGGAATGCTGATAGCCCAAGGGCAGCTTATAGGTATGTTAATGACTCATCGATCCAAACGTATAGTTACCGTAATGATACATACCTGAAATTGAGTGTGTCAACAATCGACTGTTTACAATACGCACAAATGACATGCAAAGTTACGTGATCGTTTTACATTTAGGCTGACGGAGTGAACAAAACCGTAAAAATGGCAGAGCGTGTATCGTGGTGAATAATTGTCTCTTGCTGACGGCACCAGACATCGTGCACCGGGACCTGAAGCTGGAAAACATTCTGGCGAAGAGCAGCGAGCCGCACGAGGGAATCGACCACCTCGACATTCGGGTAAAGTCCCCCCCCTGTTGTCCCCTGGGCCCGCAGCTGAACGCACAGGAGGCAGCCACTTAGACACAGGGATCAACGCCATATCCTCCAGAGTAAAAGCACGGCCGCTGCACCCAGTTGGCTTGAGCGTGGGTCTGCAGTTTCGTTGCATGACGTAGTAATTAGTTCGTTACGCGGTGAAATTCCACGTACATTTCCGAGACCTATGCAGCACTATCGCCAACACTTGCACAGTATGATTGTTTTTCGATTTAAAGCTTCTTTCGTGACTGCAGGGATTCATCTTCTTGGTTCTTTCGGTAAAGTCACGTAGAAGGGAAGTAATAAAATAACAAAAATAAAACATAATAAATTATTTTATTTTATTATGTTTTATTTTTATTATTTTATTACTTCCCTTCTACGTGACTTTACCGAAAGAACCAAGAAGGTATGATAATTGGTTTTTTTACCCTTCTATTTGGCAACAAAACTGACACCTTTTTTACAAGGAGTCATGTTTGCATAGACCACAATACCTGCAGTCATAATGCAAACAAAAAACATAACTCTGTATGCACTGTCCTTGAAGTCCTCATTTGCCAGTAACCCATGTGAGACTAGGCTCTAAGGAAAGCTGTCTCGGGTGTGGACCAATCAACTTCAAGGACAGTGCATACAGAGTAATGTTTTTTTGTTTGCATTATGACTGCAGGTATTGTGGTCTATGTAAACATGACTCCTTGTTAAAAAAAAGGTGTCAGTTTTGTTGCCAGATAGAAGGGTAAAAAAAACAATTATCATATTTTTTACTGGCAAATGAGGTTCCAATGGTGGACTTGCACGGTAGTTTAAATCAGTGGTGTTCTGTTGCATCACTCGCCGTATTATTCTACTGATAGCTGAGGGGGGGGAGGGGCCGTGGTTAAAGTGCGACTTACAATCAGATGGTTGTAAATTAAAGTTCTGGGTTTGGCAGATCGACTTGGGGTTTTATCCTCTTGGTGAGACACCTTTTGAGTGAAGCCAACAATGGAATTACCAGCCCCAATTAGTGAGTATCTGCCGCATGTTTTCCGAAAGGGCATCGTCGCTATTTTGCGAAGTTGTGACACTGGCTAATGATGAACAGGTTGTGAGTTCACATCCCGACGAGGGTCAGCAGTCCATCTTTCTGCATGTGTCACTATAGCGAGCACCAACTGCGATGGCAATAATGGTTGTCTTATGAAGGGACCGGCCTCTCCTTTGGGAATGTGCGATATGTTCAAAGTTTAAAAGAACATGGGGACGCTGAGTTTAGTCTTTTTATATTTATATATATCAAATTTATAGCGTGCATACAGGTTTAATTTGTGGTACTACATATAGATGTGGACTGAAAAGCACGTCCTTTATTTTAACCTCACACTCATGAAGTTAAGGTATATTATTATTTATAACAATATAATTTCACATGACGTTCACGGAAATGATCCCCCTATGGAACTGCGCAGCGAAGACTGTGCATGCTTGAGAGGGCGCAGGTTCAGTTAAAGCTGCCTCACTCAAATTTCAAAATCCTCTAATTGGATTCTATAATTGGCACCTTTAATTTTTATTTCTCTCTACCCCCCCGATGTTTATTTTGAGACCCCGATGCTGCACGGCTCCTAATTGCCTCCTAATTTGCCTTCTAATTGGCCGTTGCTGCTGGTGAAAAGTCCTCCACTGTGTTAACTCAGCATTAAAAGCTGGGCCTAGTGCTGCTGCTGCTGCTGATATTGGGGTTAAATGCGGCCAGGCGAAATGTTTGTTCCCCAAACTCAAGTGTGTGCCGAGGGAGTCGTGGGTGTATTACCAAGGGCAGGTTTTATTTGGGGCTTATCCCACTCCTGGGGTTATCTCCACGGAAAGGGTGCTTGGAACTTATGACGCAAGCCTCATTTTGCTTTCTCAGCTACAACTTTGCGCATGCGAGCCTTTGTGGCCATTAATGAAAGAGGGCGGTTGTCTGCAGAAGTTAATTAGATCTTAGTTATTAATGCAAGCAACGAACGGAGTGTGGGTTTACATATGATTGAGCACACACAAACACACACTTTGTACAGTGGTGGATACTTTATAGGTCTTTTTGTTTTATCTTTGCTCATGTACACACACGCCTTACTGGTTTATTGGTGCATGTTAGTGTGGTTTGGGAGACAATTGAGGAATTTGTGTGGGTTGTAACGTGAGGTGTTATAGGATTGAGTATTGATTTTATGTATGGCACCTTTTCACTGCTTCTTGTCTTTAGAACTGTTTCTCGTGTTTAGGTTGTTTTCTTTCCCCGCACCTCCGATTAGCACAGTTGGCTACGTACGGTACAAAAGAAGTCCAAAAACATACATGCATGCGGCGTTCTAAATCGAATAATATGTTATCATGGCATAAATGTGTTTTATAGTAAGTCAGAATTCAAAGTTTGTCGCTGTTCAAATGAGAAAGGAGGCGGTGCTTATACCTGTCGGTGGCCCTGAGGGAGTGGTGGAAATTCCACATTCCTATGCTGGGGGCCAGTTTTCGCTCCAGTACAACCGTGACGATTGCTTGCTATAATTTACAAACGTAACATAATTCACTTCCGTGTAAAGTGTTGGTACATTATTACACCTAAGACCACAATGACAATATATACGCGGCAAAAAAACTGCACCTGAACATGCTTCTTTGCAGAGTAACAAAAAACACCCCCAGCAAATGACATTACTCGTATTATATATTTTATTTTATGTAAAGCAAAATTTACATTCCGCACACTTTGCCTCCGAGCAGCATATGTGGTGTATGCATTTATATGCAGGTATGAATTCCAGCATCCAGAGACACCTTTGTATTTGATGCTGTATGAAAATAAATGCACCACATTGTATATTAATTCTCAGAGAGCAGGGGGGCGGGGGTGGAAACGGTTCCACAGAGGCGTCATTGCATCTGGAGGTGTAAAGTTTCGTGTCACTTAATACAGCTCCAATTATTCTGCAAATGACTCAAACATTTAATAATGCAAAGTAATGGTTGCCAAGCTGATTTGTGTAACGTGTGAGTCATTATTATATTAAGCAGATGCATCAAGCCATGATTGTTCATCTGCCGGTCCGTGCATCATTATGTGCATGTTTGTGAGTGCCAAAATTATTGATAACGTTACAAGTCACCGTGACAGACATAGGGGAGGAATGATTATTTAAAGCAGGTGGATAAGTATGAGTTGGGGGATTTTTTTTACACAATGCATGTTTTAAAAACGAACCCCGACAAACTGAAATCAGACACCACAGGCATCGTCGGTGTTAGTTACAAATGCAGACAAGTATCAAGGGAATGAACAATACTTTAGAATTATTCACAATATTCGAACTTATTTACACTTAAAAAATAATATTTGTAAACATTTTTAAAATACGAGGTAGGTAAATCAAATAAAACACTCTAAAATGCATATGGAGGACATTTTTATGCTGTCAATAATTAATATAAAGCCACTGTGGGTTAGTCTAGTAAAACAAAACATATGAAGGCATTCGTGAATGCCTTTACCATTCGGCTTCTCTCATAGCTGTGGTAGTTTGCTGAAATTTTTGTTTCCGATTTTTATTTTTAAAGGTCCTGCTCACGGCCAATGCCTAGCATTGGTCATCAGTTCACTTTCACAAGTGTAGCCGCACGAAAACAAAAAGGCATCTAACTTGTAGTTGGGATTTTAAGACCGGCTCCAGTTTGGAAAACGCGTACAGGATCCTCAGCTATTCACAACTCTTGTAGTTAGGGCATTCATGAGGCCAAGTAAAAACATAAACAAAACATTTCTCACTACAGCAAAGGCTTTTTTATGGCCCAGGAGGTGTACTATACTAACACCATTATCACAAAATAATGAGTTACAACAACGGGTGCTTTCACTTGATTCTGTGCTCTCAAGGTAAAAACTAATTTTCATCCGCAGCTCCGAGTCCAACACTGGGGGGGGGGGGGGGGATTGGCGAGTTCTGTATAAATGTCGGGTGTTCTTTAGACCAGCAGAGGGCACCCCTCTGGATTCACCGATTGAAGAGGCCGTGTCGCATTGGTGTGGCTCGCTGGCGTCGGGCACGTGCGCGTCAATTTTGCCCAGCGCTCATCCCACAGTTGAGTGTGAAGATCGCAACGGTGGGAACAGAAGTTGGGGCTCTTCGAATGCCTTCTGTAGCGCACGACGCCGAAAAACGGGAGCTCGGATTTAAATGAAAGAAGAGGAAAGTGATGACACGAGCGAAGGGCTGCAGATACACGACGAGGCAGCTAGGGGCTAAGAACTGGAATAACAAAGTAGCATCTATAAAATACACTAACGCCGACCTCAAAGTGAGATGCAAAAGAAACGAAAAGTAAAAACAAATTTGGAAGCAAAACAACAACAATAATTGACGGGAATATTTGTCCATTTTCTTTTTTACTCGCCGTAGAGAGAACAAATTATTATGTGGGCCCTTTTGGATTGGTTGTGGAATAAAGTTTTCTGCTTGGCTGTGATCGTTCTACATAATTGACCTCACAGAGATGCACGGCTTTACACCTTGGTTCATGCCCGCACGAACCTAGAGCGTTTGTTCAATCCACTGCTGGATAAAGGCCTCCCCACTGCACTCACTAAGGACTGTCCTGACTTGGGGAAAATGTATACCGTCCGTACTTATAAAATTGTACATATATATAACCCTTGGATCAATCCACATCTGGATGAAAGTCTGGCGGGTTGTCGGACCATACTTCACCACACCGGTCCGTGCGACGGAATAAATAATAGCCAGCGTACAGCCGCGATGGCTACCTAATGGGCGTCAATTAACGTGGAGCCAAACAACGGTCCAAGGGAATATTGCTTTGCGATTTGGAGCACGTGGAAGCGGTTATGTATGCGGCGCGCACAGGCGACGGACGCGCTGCTGTGCTGTAAATACTCAGCGAAGGGAAACGGGCGTGCGGCTCGCGGACGGCTGATTTTCAGGAGGAACGCCGGGGAAAACGAAACGCACAAAAGAAAGACGGCAAGAGGGCTCGCCCGGGAGGGGCTGTGGGCACCGGCGCAAGGGGAAGGCTAGAAAGGAAGAAGAAGAAGGGGGGAAAAATCCAAAGCCCTTCTCTCATTCATTTTTAAATAAAGGCAGCGTCCGCGCATCTTTGTCAGCGGAAAGGGGGCCGGTGCGCTAATTAGCTCCGCAGAGTCCCATTAAGCGGGCGAGGCCCACGGAACGGAGCAGCCCGGCCTCTCCGCCGCTCACCCTTTAATCAGCCGGCCACCGAGCAGCGCGTGGGGAAGCACTGCTCTCTCGCTCTCTCTCTCTCTCGCTCCATATCAATCTACCCGCCCCACAGGTGACGGACTTTGGGCTGTCGGCGGTGCGGGAGGGAAATGGAGCTGCCTCGATGCTTCAGTCTCCGTGCGGAACGCCCATCTACATGGGTAGGGCAACGTCTGCCCTTTGTCCCGAGTCCTCTGTTTCGCCGTTGCCCTCCCCTTCACTTAATCTGCATGTCTCTCCATCTTTCGATGATTCCATGCAAAAATGAGTTGTCATTAACCCTGTACGCAGTCACTGTCTTTGACTCTGGGCCTAATTTATCTGTTATTTTATTTCGTTATGTTTTACAATATTTCCCCCCTTCGGCATTTCAGTGTGGTACAACTATCTATCTCTCTCTCTCACTGTCACTTTCTTCAATAACCAAGCTTTGGCATGCAATTATAATGAAGTATTTTTGCATTTGAGTTTTATTCATTCGACCCGAGCTGCTATATTAATGCTAAACTTTCTCGTACATAAACTTGTACGAATGTGAATTTCAATGGGACTTTTAACTCGTCCAAAACAACAATTGCCACACGTTTGCAAGTCTTCGTTAATGACGTTTTGTTATGCCCACGATGAACAAAAGTGAGACACGTCAACAGGAAAATGTAACAATACGCTCACTTAGTATGGGCTGTTTCATTCGTATCCTATACTCAATAAAAACCCACCAGGATTTTTTTAAATGTCCCATATAACCCTGCGTTGAATGTGAAATGTCTGTGGGACTTGAATAAAATCTCCTTTGGATCCATAAAGCATTTCAGTCTTGGGGGACTACTGTAGGGAATGTTCATTAGGATGAAATATCTGATTTTCCGTTAATAACCGTGCGGGTTTGCGTAGCATTTCACAAAGGTGGGCAATATCAGTCCATATATTAACAGAAACCTGCACGTACACCCCTTCCTCACTACGTGAGATTCAGCATGTGGTCAGTCTACTTTATAAGGTAATGCATCTCGTTCTGCTCTTATCAGGCCTCGTTTAAGTGCTGCGAGGTAGGAAGGAGCCATATGTATCGCAACTCACGAGTCATCACTCCCAATGTCCTGTTCTGCAGTCTTGCAGTGTGCGCAGAGTGACAGATACAGCTTATTACTGATATTGATGCGTTGATGACGTTCTGCCAAGTTGCTTTGGCTGTAGGCTTTCCGTTTTAATAATGCGTTTGTTTTAACCCGTGCTTGCCCAAGAGTCGCACACAACATGCCCCAAGCCCTTGTGGAGCGTCAGCAGTGGGCCTTTGTGCTGCTGCACAAGGACTGATGTTCATTAACAGTGGAATGCTCACCTCGTTTGAACAGCGCCATCCGATGTGCCGAGTCTTTTATCAATCCGCTGATGGGCTACTGCCTCCCCACACCTTTCAGTCGGGGAAGTTGATTGACCATACTTCACCACGCTGGTTAGTGCAGGTTGCTGAAGGGATTGCCTAGGACCAGTTCAGATATCACTTGCCATTCACATGAGCCGAAGCTGGGAATCAAACTCAGGCTATCGGGTTCAGAGCACACTGCGCTAACCACAGTGCCACCACTCCGATTATTTATCGTATACGGCATACACAGCGCAATTGAACGCAATGTTATTGTTAAGCTGTTTTTATATCGGGAAAATGACGAGGCTTTAGTAGGTTAACGTGTTTGGGTTTGAACCAATATAAGGATCTCCCATCCAAACTCATCATCTGATTGGCCAATTACTGTTTAGCGCTAACCACTGTGCCACCACTCCGATTATTTATCATATACGGCATACACAGCGCAATTGAACGCAATGTTATTGTTAAGCTGTTTTTATTTCTGGAAAATGATGAGGCGTTAGGAGGTTAACGTGTTTGGGTTTGAACAAACATAAGGATCTCCCAATCCAAACTCATCGTCTGAATGGTCAATGACTGTTTAGCGAGCACCTCGCAAGGCAGGAACAACGCACTGCGTGGTGGTGTGGCCAGCATCCACATTAGGATGCTGCTGTTGCACCATTGCAGATGTGAACACAATGCGCAAGATATTTGTGCTATGCTGAATCAACGTAGGAGAGAGAGGTGTGTTCTAGGTTGAGACACCATTGCCAATGGTGTTGTATATCATGGTCACATATTAATTCCAAGTCACGGAGATCTTAGAGAGTGGTGCACAAACCCCATGCATGCACATTTAACAATACGGTGATAATATACGTTGACATTATTATAAGATAGCGTGTTTCTACATTAGCTTTATAATATAGTGCGTTTCACGTTATGTTATAAAGCTAATGTAGAGGCGAGTTAGAGTTAAATATGAACATTTTTAGCAATATTTATGTATACTGAATATAGCAAAAGGTAAATTCCCATTAAATGTCTTCCTTAAATACGTTATTTAACGTAATGCAATTTACATGCAAAAAATTTCCATTTCTATTCACATTCTATCGTATAATCTTGTAATATTCTTGAGTCTCTGTTGAAAAAAACATTCACGTCCGAATGATCTTACAACAAGGGTGTAAGTAAACAATTAACATCGTTATCACTTAAAATGTTTCTGCAAAACCCTTCACAGTTTCAGCACCTTGCTTTGGAGAGCACTGCGTCCTCAACAAGTGATACTCTGCAACTTTATTTTGCCAGTGGCCAAATATAAACACATTTGAGCGTTATGTATATTAAAACGCACGTTACACAGCCGTTGCATTGACATCACAGTACGCAAGGGTAAATTGCTGGTTTATAGAAGTAAGTGGCACAAATGCCCTCACCAAAAGCACCGCGTCTGCTGCTGGGATAGATATCGGTTCTCATTGTGAGGCACAGTCTAGGGCCCTGAAGGGTTCATAACTTCACGAAATCTGTTTGTCTTGCTTTCCCTGCAGGCTTCTCTATCATCATTGCATCTGTTGGCTGCCTTGGAGGTCTTAATTCTGCCCTCACGCCTGCGTTTCACGAGTCTCCCACTGTATTCTCAGGCTGCTGCTGCTGTGTTTTTTATTGAGGGCTCTTTTTGCTTGTATATACATATATATTTCCACACTTGCCACGTTTATTATCTTCAGAGTTAAGATTTTGAATATACAGTCCTGCTGTTCCAAGACTGTTAAATTGTAACCAAAGTGCACGCAAAGCTCGTTCTTAATTGTGATCTTCATTTAACTTATTTGTGTGGGAGACGTAAATAAAAAGCATTAGGTTGCTTGTTTCTTGCATAGAACCCAGATTATCCACGACTGATGAAACCCCAGCTTCTCAGCACTGTTAGATTCGTGTTGCAATGCATTGCAACGTCATTTGGATTTGCGATGCATTCAAATACGACCACTTCTCAAAAGAGGGCACAGGGTTAGGGAGGAGAATGCCGTAGGAAGGAGAAGAGGCGGTAATCTGATGGGAAGGGGGCTAATAGGCGACGTGACTTAAACGAGGATGGCAGTGGAGATGTTGAGTGGACAGGGGGCAATCACAGGGCAACCACCAGTGAAATGAACACCTGCCGCTTTGTCCATATTAAAAATCAACGTCGTCATCATCATCGTTTGTCCCTTCCGAACGAATCTCCGCCATGGCTTTCTTTTTTTGTTGTCGGCAGTATAACGTCTCAATCACGTGTCTTCTCGCCGTTTTCTCACTGCCTCCATCACCCTGGTTTGCTATCTAACCCTATTTGAGTTTGGACTTGAATATGGAGATCATTGAAGAGTATGGACAGCCAATGATAGGGATTCCAGACTCGGCTGGCAGGCGGGGGGGGGCTGTAGTAGAGAGGGAGAAATTTCCCAGGGCCAACATAAGCTGCCCTTCTTGGGGATGGGCTCTTGAGGCCCGGTCGTCGATGCATATTTACCGATGCACGTTAACGCTTGCGCTCTCTCGTATACGTTCCCACAGCTCCCGAGGTGATCCAGAGCCAGGACTACAGCCAGCAGTGCGACGTGTGGAGCATCGGCGTCATCCTCTACATGCTGTAAGGCCCCCTCCTCCCCCTGCTCCCTTCGCTACAGCAACAGCCCGAATAACTCTTAAGGCTGAAAACGCTGCGACCACCAGCGTCACGAACACCTGCTGCTTTGTGCATATTAAAAAACATCATTGTCATCATCATTTGTCCCTTCTGAACGAATCTCCACCGTGGCTTTTTCTGTTGTCGGCAGTGTAGCCGCTGCTTTCGATCTCACTCACTTGTCTTCTCGCCGTTTTAACACTGCCTCCATCGCCCTGGTTTGCTCTCCAAACCTACTCATATATCCTTCCACTGTTGTGTTACGTCGACCCATACAGGATCCTGTCCAGGCTTACATTAACAATGCGCCAGCTAAAATCAAACACGCTAGTAATACATTCAAGGAAGGGTGCCTCCCTCCACTCTGTTAGGAGACTTCACTTTATTAAGAAACATGCGTATAGATTTGCACGTTAGCTGTTTGCACTTATGCCCGCGCTTACATGGCTATAATTCTATTGGTGGCCATTCCATGGATAGACTGGGCCCCATGATTGGGAATGTGGAATTGTCACCGCTTGCTCCAGGCCACAAATGGAGACAATCGCTGTCCCAGTGCTCTTTTGATCCTGGAGACGTGTTGACTTAATTTTACAATTCGCTTGTAACAGTCAGAAAATGTCTAAATCATTCGAATGGTTCACATGGGGTGTCAGTTGGAAGATAATGATTACAGGGTTTTTAGAAAATATGGCGTATTCATGGAATGGGTCAGTGATTTGACACATACGCAAAAACAGAATGCACTAACACCATCCCAGCCTGTGTCAGTGTCTGTGTGCATGTGACAACATCATCGTGGGAGAATTTCTGCAATTCTAGAAATGCTTCTATTTGATTCACAGTTCTAATTGGTTAACATTATATGCTCAAGTAAAAATCCACTTTGTGGTCATACTAACGATTGCCCACATCTTTAACGTATCAGAATTGTATGCCCAAAATCGTGGAAATGCCCATAATTTCCATATCCAGTAAAGTTAGGATAGCAATAGGATATCAATACACACCAATAAAGAAATAATTCCAGACATTCTCAATCCGCCCAAAGGTGAAGGACTACCCATACCGTGTCAGACGTGGCGGTTCTTTGGCCGTGAGATGGGCACCAGAACGAGCGGTTAAAGTATCACTCGCCACTTGATGTTGGCCATGGACAGAGATCGAACTCGGCTGTGCTGGGTTCATAGCGGAGTGCACTAACCGCCGCGGGAGCGCTGCAACTGAATAGCAATACTCTTCGAATTTCGATTTAAAGCTTTCGTGACTGCAGGGATTCATCTTCTTGGTTCTTTCGGTAAAGTCACGTAGAATGGAAATAATAAAGTAATAAAAATATAGCAATAAAATAATTCTCACGACGTTTCGGCCACAACGCAAGCAGCTGTCCTCAGGTGAAGAATAGGTCTGTCGAGAAGACACGTCGTGAGAATTATTTAATGATGTTTTATTATTATTACTTTATTATTTCCATTCTACGTGACTTTCCCGAAAGAACCAAGAAGAGGATTCTTCGAATTGTTTTTTTTTGTGATCTTAGCAATTAGGTAATGATGGGGTCTCCCCACACTAACCGCTCTCTGCACAGTGCGATTCTGGGGTGTTGGCTGGGCTGTTTCATGCCCGCTGCCATTGTTTCGCTCTCATCTGTAAGCCCCCTGGCCAGTACGCGACGAGCGCCTGCCTCTCGCCTCCCGTTCCGCGGAGCGCCTCACCGCTGCGCTCTGCTGGAAACGTCTCTGAAGCCGCCAGTGGGGTCCCAGCGGCGGGTTTGCGAGTTAGATCCAATGCTCGAGGTGAACAAGTTACGTTGTAATCTTTCATCCGTCGTCGTGCAGTGGAAGCTACTTTTCTCGGCTCGTAATCGGCGTAATGAAGTGTGTGACCCACGCTCGCTAATGCACTGTAAAGATGTGAGGCTTTAATCACGTGGACTGCTGATCATCTCGCCAGCGAGCAGCATAACAACTGGTTATTTAAGCCACTAGCAATTATCTTAACGACCTCTTAAAGGTCAGCTGCACGTAGCCTACAGTAGCGAAGACTTCAGATGCTTACCCACATATCTCTCCTCTCTCTCAGCGTTGAGTCGCAACTCTTCTATTCACGTTAAGCAGTGGCGGGTCTTGGCTAGCCTAGATAATTGAGTTTACATCGTTCGTGGCCTTGTTAAAATTAGCAATCTTGTTTGATAGCGGAATATTCGAGTGTCATCAGTACCTCGGCAATGGAAGGATTTGCAAGCCGTGGATTGTGCTGACATGCATTGTATTAATGCATGAAAAATGTAATTACGTGCATAAAGGGTAGGGCCAAAGGTTCCTTTCTCCCCGCTGCATTAGGCTCCTTTTATTTCAGGAGACAGACAGCCTGAGCCAATGTTGGATTGAAGTCTGGCGGTTGCGCAAAGGGGGTTAGTGACCAATTTGCGCGGCAAAAAAAAAAATGCCTTTATAGTTTCATACCAATTACGGCTGTAAACTGAGACACTTTTGTTTTCAGTGGGGCTTTTCATTTCATGCGGAGAAGCGCTGCCACTCAATTCATCACAAAGACAATGGATTTGCTTGATCAAAATATGAACTCCGAGGCTAAAAAAAACAAATTTAAGAGAGATCTGGGAGGGTTTTTTTCTTTGTTTTGTAACCGTCATTACGCGTCGTTGGTTGGATCAAAAAAGCCCTGGAATGATGAAGACCAGAGTTCACACGGACTTAAGAAAGTGTTAATTCTTATTCTTAGGTTTTTTTCGGTAAAGTCACGTAGGTAAAACATTAAAATTAATAAAAGTAAAATAAAATAAAAATCACGACGTTTCGGAGGCAAAAATCACGTCGTGATTTTTATTTTATTTTACTTTTATGAATTTTTATATTTTACCTACGTGACTTTACCGACAAAACCTAAGAATATGAATCCTTGCAGTCACGAAAGCTTCAAATCTAGTGTTAATTCTTAATTGGTTTCTTTTAGGTAAGGTGTGTGTCGTAAACCCTCCTCCACCCGACACAAACAATGAATAAATGTGCCACTTGAATCAAATGTGCCAGATGTATTACTGCTACAGCAGCAGCAGCACCACTACCGTTGTTGTTGTTGGAGAGCAATCTCACGACATTTTTATTTTTATAATTTTTTTATTTGACCAGGTAAGGCCCACTGAGCTGTATAGCTGTTTGTCAGAAGCGACCGGGCCACAAATGATAACTCAACGAAGTGGTTTATCACGTGGACATTTATAGCAGCCAAATACTCTAGACGCACGCTTCTAAATGTGGAGAGGACCTGGAGAATAATCCTCGCGATCATGGGGGGAACATGCCAACTCCAAGTATACCGCAGGTCGGAATCAAACCCAGAACCTCCTGTGTACGAGGCGTGGTAGTTAACGTCTTGCCACAGTAGCGGTTACACGGATCACGACGATTCACTGGAGATCACATCCAGCACCATGAGGTTGTTAACAGGAGCTCAGATTTCGATTTAAAGCTTTCGTGACTGCAGGGATTCATCTTCTTGGTTCTTTCGGTAAAGTCACGTAGAAGGGAAATAATAGAATAATAAAAATTAAACAATAAAATATTCAGTTTTATTTTTATTATTTTAATATTATGTTTTATTATTGTATTATTATGTTTTATTTTTATTATTTTATTATTTCCCTTCTATGTGACTTTACCGAAAGAACCAAGAAGAGGAGCTCAGATGTCGAGTGAAAGCCAACGTATACAATTAATGCATTTCTTGCTAGAGAAGTATGAGTGTGTTTACGTGTGGAGAGTAAGTAATACATGCAAACAATAAACGACGAATTGTACCTCCGCGAAGGGGAAAAAAACACAAAAGAAAGAAATACCTGTGCTTTTCATGTCATGATTTGAAAGTCTCAAAAGCCACATGAGTTCGTGAGTGTCAAATAATTTGTTTAACACTTGTCTTGCTAGACCTGCTCAACTGTGCTCCCCCACAGTCGTAGCTCATACTGTCCTGAGCATGGCATTGCAAATATTTCACTCAACGTGACATTGAATTGTCGCAAATGACTTTAATTACTCGAAGAACGTGATGTTAATGGATACATGTCGTTTCAAGCTTTGCATTTATTATCATTTGCTTATGGTTAACTGAAGGGAAATTTTCCATTTTCAAAAGAATGCCTTATTCTATGTTTGATGTTGTGGAATGAAAGGAAAACATTCCCCAAATGAGTTTGGTGAAATTTGGTTTGATATCTTTTAAAACGTTTTAAATAGAATTTTTATTATTAGCGATCCAGTGCTTATTGTCGCACTTGCACTATGAGCGAGACCTGAGTTCAATTCCCAGTCACGACTAACATCATTGGCGAGTGATATTTGAATCAGTCATGTGCACTCCTTCTCCAAACCGCACTGACCAGCCTGGTGATGTATCATCAAACAACCCCCCATGACTGACACAGCATGGGGAAGCCTTCATCCAGCAGTAGATTGGCAGAGAACTGTAATATACAATGGTTTGCATTATTAGTATTCAAATCAAAATAATTACGTAAATAAACAGACTTTTATTTTTTTTAGAAATATAAACAGTTAATTCTATGTTTTTCTGCGGGCTGTCATCACAAGTTTTGGAAGTGGCTGTACTTGACACCACAAAAAATTCTTATAATTTATTATAATTTTTTTCTTTAAAATCTCATAACCTAACTTTAAATTCAAAATGAGAGCACTTTACCTCATGTATATTTCTAAGAGACAATTAAGAAGTTGTTTAGACTCACAGGCATGCATTCGATAACCTTGCCCAAAGCACTTAAGCCTGCCGTTTGTCAACATTTTGTATTCGTGTAAATATATGCCCACAGAAGCAGATGAGAGGGCCAATACTTTGGACGAATATAATCAATATGAGGCAACATCTGGTGGTTAAACGGTTAAAAAAAAGTACCGCTCCTAATAAAAGATGAAATGCAGACTTCTGCATTATACAAGCTTCCCTGTGAGTAATTCATCAGCATTGCGACAGTTTCGTAATATATTATTGATAATGTCATGACGTGGATTTTGTTTAAACTTTCCTCCTGTTTGCCACATTTCACAGATAAGTGTGGACATTAAAGGGACTCTTTAAATTCAAGTCCCGGATTGATGTCACATTTGGATTATCAACGTTGCTCTGCTTGTGTTTTATCTTACCGCAAACACAGGTACACATTTCTCATGCAAGAAATCCCAGTGCTTTGCTTGCTCGTATAAATAACGGAGCAACTGCCGCCTGTATGCCGGTACACAGAAACAATTCCATGATTGCGGTAATTATAACAAAGCATGGGTGCCTGTTGGAATACCATAGCTTTCATTTGGTTTAACAGTCTATTACAGCGTGAAACTTAGTTCAGTTTTCCTTGTACCTCTAATGAGCAATGTCTGGTCTTCATCTTCAATGCAGATATTGAAACAGTGGTGGAAATTCTATGTCAATGTGGCAGGAAACAGCCGCTTGGAAGGGTAGCAGCTGTTTACACTCTGCTATGCATTGTAACTTTATGGGATGTTACTTTATTTTATCCGCCCCAGAGAAAGAATGGGTTGAGTCGACCAAGGCCGGGGTTTTACCCCATTAGCTTCTAATAAAAACAAACAAAAGAAACTATCCGAGAGCCATTAGATACGTTTGCTAATACATATTTTGTATTTCGTCAGCACACGATAAACATTATTAAAGCAAACATTATGGAAGAATGACTCAGATGTTTCGTAAGTTGGGTTACATAAATGGCGTTTTCCTTCATGGCAATGGCATAATTCGTTTTGTGTTCATGACGAGTTCATATAGAGTGCTATCATTCTCGTACATAAAAGATGTTTTACGATAATCAAAATATATTACGGCTAGGATGCTTCTTTGAATGAAGAATTTAAGTAATATTTTTTTTACCGAGGGATTTCTTTGCGATTTAAAGCTTTCGTGACTGCAGGGATTCATCTTCTCTCCAAGCCTGGGGTGTGTCATTCAGACTCTGTCTTCTCGACAGACCTGTTCTCCACCTGAGGACGGCTGCTTGCGTTGTGGCCGAAACGTCGTGAGAATTATTTTATTATGTTTTATTTTTATTATTTTATTATTTTCATTCTACGTGACTTTACCGAAAGAACCAAGAAGAGGATTTCTTTGCATTTTTGTGCAGCTTGGAATAGTAATAGTTCTATATGCAGCACTACTTAATGTGTAACGATGGGACACGCACAATGTAATTAAAGACAATTATTTTTGACATCCAGAGTTCAATTTGTGAAAATAAAAATCAAATTTAAAACATTTGCTGGTACACATTTTAAGTAATGTACTATTATACGGATTACTTGGAACAGTTAGATATCTTCACCTCTGTTTTCTAAATCACAAGAAACTAAGAACAAACACTTGACCCAAGACATTTTTCATTTGTATCTCTTTTTTTGAGATATTTTTCAAGTCCCTCATGCATTTATATTTCATCTTGTACACCGCATTCATCGTGTGTGTATTTCTGTCGCTATCGTTAATTAATTTCCCCTGCATTTCCTCGTGATTAATATGTGGCGCACCCCACTGGCATATACATTTTTTTTCAAATCTCTTGATCATTTTCCTGCGTGTAATAACCACTCGCCTTGGCACACGTTCAGGTGTTGAGTAAACAGTGATACTTTAATTAATTAACAATGCTGTGCGATGAGCCCAATAATAAATAATGGATGAGCCACTGAGCTAGTTAGAATTCTAAAAACCCTAATACAAATTTCACGTTGTAATTTATAATTCACAAAGCCGCTACATTGTTTTAATAGGCAGACTGAAAGTATAGGTACTTGAATAAAGCGAAATGCAACTAATCATCAGTGACAGCTAGGTAAGGCCTACTGAGCTGTCTAGCTCTTTTTTTAGAAGCAACCTGGCCACAAAGGAAGTGGCTTATCATGTGGAAATGTATCGCAGCCAAATACTCGAAAACAAAATTTACTGTTGGGGGGGGGGGGGGGGGGGGGAAGTGGCACAGTGGTTCGCTCATTGCATAATGATCATGGCAACCTTAGATTTTGTTCCCAGCCACGGCTAACATCAGTGGCAAGCGATATTTGAACCGGTGCCGTGACCCCATTTCACTTACCCACCACACTGACTGGAATGGTGAAGTATGGTGAAATGAGCACCATTACTGACACAAGGTAGGAAGCCTTTCATACAGCAGTTCATTAACAGAGGGCTGTAAATTATTTGTAATGAACCAAAAAAATACTGTGATCTCTTTTCTTTTTTCACATACAATGGAACCCATAATATAGTTTTTTTTCGGGTTCGATCACGTAAATATAAATGTGTCGTTAAACCCGCCACCACCCGACACAGCCAATTAGTAAGGTTTATCACGTTAACAAAAGGTGCCAATTCGTTACTAGTTCAGCGCACCGGTGTGTTGGAGAGTAAACCCACAACATTCACAATCTGACTAACAACATTTCGCGCCGCTGTGCTGTACTAGCTAACGAATCGACACGTTTTGCTCACGTGACAACCCTTGCTAATTGGCTGTGTCAGGTGGTGGCACGTTTAGCGACACGTTTAAATTCACGCGATCTAACCCTCCCAAAAAAACCCCTCTATTGTGGTTAATATTGGTCGCGAAAGCCTCCTCCTGCTGCGTGTTAAACTGACAAATGGAAACCATCTTTAAAACCGTGGCAGATGGCTCTCTGGCCGCTCTCCTCATTTGCGACTTTATAGAACACCACCCTGGCACGTCCGAAGAATTCACGGCAGGTAATGAGTACATTTCACAGGTGGCCGAGTAAATTTTTTTCATCACTACACACTTTTTTTTTTACTTTGAGAAACATACACAAGTGCTCATAAAACGAATATAAAACCGATCGTGCATTGTTGTGGTACATTATGGTCAACAACATGTATAACCAAAGCTCTGTTCTGCATGCATTTAATTAGCTTGATTCCGCTGATGAGACCCACAAGGTTCAAACCAGTCCAGAAATAAAATCGGCTGGACAATATTGTTCTGGAAAGACAAAAGGCCTTTTACTAACAATGCATTTATTTGTATGTGTATGTGAAGATAGAATGGAGGTTTGTTTATGTTAAAATAATGAGGATATTTGAAAGCTGTTTGTCAATCCACGGCTTCCCCATGTCATGCTGATGTTCATCATAGGTGTCAATTGAACATACTTGACCACAATAAGCAGTGAGGTTTGGCCAAGATGGGCAGGGAGGGGACCAGAACTGGTTCAGATGTCAATTGTCACTGATGTTAACCACGGGCAGAAATCAACAACTCTCTGGGTTCATAGCACTGTGTGCCAACCATGACACCGGCATTCCACCTCACACCATAAATAACCAACTTCTATTCTGTCTCCACAAAATATTTTCTTAATTCTGTTAGTATATTGGCCTATTCTACATAATTCAACCAGAAGATTTTTTTTTCTAGCAATTTTTCTAGCACGGTCGGTTACGTATGGTGCGAAAGAAGTTCAACATACATACATACAACTACTGCTGGATTACCAGATGTTATTGATAAGTGCCCTCTCTGCACCGTGAGCCATCAGCACAATAACAACAATATTGTTTCAGTTAATATATTAAATATGACGTTAAGATAAGCCAAGCAGGTGTCACACTATTTTTCTATTTAAACTTTCCTCCTGGCTGTCGCCTGATGAGGCTGGTTGTAATTACCGGCGAAACGTCGTTCTAGAATTTTAAATATTGTGGGATTACTCTCCAACACACCGTTGTGCTGAACTAGTAAATAATTGGCACGTTTTGTTTACGTGACAGACCTTAATAATTGGCTGTGGCGGGTTTAACGACACATTTATATTTATATTATTGGTTCTTTTAGTAAAGTCACGTAGAAGGGAAATAATAAATAATATAAATATAAAACAATAAAAAATATTTATATTCTTTTATTATTTCCCTTCTACGTGACTTTACCGAAAGAGCCAAGAATATGAATCTCTGCAGTCACGAAAGCTTTAAATCAAAACATTTATATTTATGCAATCTAACTAAAAAAACACCTCATTGAGATAAGTAGACGGTTTCTTTGGAGTATTCATGCTTTGGGGAGAGAGTCAAAGTCACGGAGGAAACCCCCTTCATGCGAGAGACGAACACTTGAACTCCACAGACAGAGGGAGAGTCACAAACCTACTTGCTCTAACCTCCACCAGCAGACACCTTGATGGGCCTTTGCAGCTGGGTGTGTCTCACACGTATGAACACGGCACGATTCAAAATATTCCACTTCTTAGTCTGGGATTATGGGCAGAACAACAGATGTAGATGACTCGACCGAGAAGTAGGTGGATCTCTCATGGGAATCAATTCTCCCGAGGTGTGTGCCCCCTGTTCTGATGGCCCCTTGATGAAAAAAAAATCTGTGTCTGCTCGGTGGCTCGTGCAAGCTGCGCTTGAGAGTGAACGAGAGGGAGCAGCGAGTGAGAGTGGATGTTTGCCCTCCCTGTGTGTTTTAATGAAGGCTGTGTGGCGAGCCTCCCTTCATGGCCCATTCGCAAGAGAAGCTCTTTGAGCTGATCATTAAGGGAGAGCTGAGCTTCACCCAGCCAGCCTGGGAGGAGGTCAGCGAGAACGGTAAGTCATCTCTCGAGTGCTATCTTGCTCATCACAATGTGCCGCTTTTAACTTTCGGATGGGGCGGCGTTAGCGTAAAGTCGCGGCTGCACTCTGGGATGTCCGTGTGTGTCCGTGTGTCCGTGTGTGTGTGCGTGAGTACGCGTCCGCGCATGTGTACGTGTCCGCGCGCGTGTGTGTGTGTGTCCGTGTGTGTGTGTGCGCGCGCGTGAGTACGTGTCCGCGTGTGTGTGTGTGTGCGCGTGCACACCATGTGCCCTCGTGTGCCTGCACGTGAAACGCACGCGTTTATTCCATTCTATTTCATTATATCGTTGCGCCAGGTAATTCACGCCTAATGTGTGTAGCTATGCCTTGGGATCAGCAGGTGTGTTTTTGAAACCTTCTGCGTTCAATTCTCCACTTTCATGGCACCCAAGAGCTTAAAATAATTGGGCATCAGCTGTCCCACTGCATGTTCCCGAGCACAGACTGGAGTGCATAGCCATAGGTTGAGTGGGCTGATCCTACACCTAGGCTTTCATCTGCTCCCAGCGTAGCCCGTGTCACTTAAAAATATACCGCGGCGCTCTATAGGCAGGCCAGGGAGCCGTACTCGGGGGGGGGGGGGGGGGTCAGTCCTTTGTCATTCCACTGCTAGATGAAGGTCTCCCCACATCTTGTAGGTCAAGGAGGTTGTTGCTTGATGATAATTCCCCACGCCGGTCAGTGCTGGTTGGATGAAGGGGAACCGGGGGTGGTCTGGGTGGGGGGGGGGGGACAAAGGAGTTGAACCCAGGATCGGAATGTTCCAGAAATCACTCACCGCTGATGTTAGCAGGAGGCCGGGAATCAAACTCGGGTAGTTGAGAACCAAACTGCCACCGCTCCACTTCAATGCGATGATTAAAAATATAATGCCATGATGTATTTGTGAACATTTCTAATTGCCAATTAGGATACTGTTACTGCAGGATTTGGTTTGATTTTGAGGAACGTGTGATGCAAAATGCCGTTTGCCTTTGCTATTGTATCATCAGCTGATAGATTTTAGAAGCTGTGTGTGTGTGTGCGGGTTATTCATTGGATTATTTTTTGTGTTAATTTTCTCATTAAATATTAGCGCATTGAAATGCAGTTTATCATGATGACTTTTAAGAAGAGTATATTTCGCACCAACTATCATATTCACTAATTATCCTTCCCTCGCACCTGCGATTAGGATGGTTGGCTACGTACGGTGTGGAAGAAGTTCAACAATACATGCATACAAAGTCTCGGGGTCATAGTTCATACAAAGCAGCCGGAATGTAAGCTTCTGACCCTTGAGTTGAAGTGCATGAGGATGATGCTAGGAATTTCATGTCAGTATTGGACACGCAACCTGCAAGTTTTAAATAGGAGCCGGCAAGGAATTTCTGTAGGTGACTTCAGGAAGGAGACGTTAAGCTGAGAGCGAGGCAGGATGGAGGAGGCCATGATTCCGAGGGAGGCATCAGGGTGGCACGCAGATGTTGGGATATGGCAAGAGTGCACCTTGGATGACTTGCATCCCACTGGGATATTTGCACAGGGTTGGTGTACGGTGATTTTTTTCTGCAATATTTTGCTGTCTTTTCTTGCGGTTGCACCCGATTCAAGAGCCGAATGGCTCACAGGGCTATACCTAATAAATGAACTTTGAACTTACGTTGACATTGCAATAACTGCGAGGTCTAGCAGAAGCAAAGACGCAATGGCAACATCATTGGCAATTACGATCTCTTTATCTAACCAATAATTTACATTTAATCAGATATTTTTTTTGTTAATATGCAAAGCTACCTCTTTCTTATCATTCCTAGATTTGTTTTGTCATTGTTGTGTTGTCGCCAATGTGTGTGTTCAATGAAAAGAACCAAGAAAACACTTTTACTTGGATTTTTTAAAAAGTTTAATAATGAAAGCCCATGAGTAAATGAAATGTCTTAATCTTTGCTTACGTTTCAAGAAATAAGACTGTATTGTTCAACACATTTTTCTCTCTTTGTCTGGCCATGGTGACTCAGCTCAGTGCTCAGCAAATGCTACCTTGTTATCCAGCCTCGATAAAGCCCTAATAGGCTGGTCACATATACTTTTTCCCGCGATTTCATTATTCATCATCATTGCATGTTATGCTACCAAAATTGAATGGCTATCCTTCAGGCTTAGGCTGGAGGTGGACTGCATTCCGATAGCATTAAAGTGTGGCTCACGGCTGGGCACACTATTTTATGTGACCTTGATTCCTTCTAATTTTTTGGTTTTATCGCCATGGAATGATGGACTTTAAAGTTAGAAAAGATTTAACAGGGGGAAATAAAACTCTTTATTTTGCTATTCACTCGTCATTCCCTCGACTTGCCGACTCACGGAGAGATGAGAGTGGCATTGAGCTGTTTGAGTCACATTGCTTTTACAGGAGCTCCCACGGCGTTGTACGCCTCTTGAAATACTTTATAATTGTGCACCCTGCCCTCTGCACAAATGAGGTGGGGGGGGGGGGTGGAAGTCAAATCTTAACACCGCCATCGTCATCAACAGGCGGGTTCGTTAACCCTTACAATTTATTGTTCTCTGGATGCCAACAATGGCAGTCACAGACGGAAACACACTCCGTCTGTGAGACGCCTTCACAAGAGCAGAGCGACCGCACCAGAAAGGGAGGAACTTTGCAGTCGGGCAATTAAGCCCTCATGAGTGTCTTACCGTGACATTTCGTGGACACACTTTATCTGTACAGCATGTTATGCATCACTTTATGAGATATATATATATACATATATATACTATGCAAGATATAATATGGAAATGTTCATGATAATATTCTTCAACGGAGCACGGCCTTGACGTGACAAAGAGACTCGAGGGCCTTGTAGAACTGGGTAGCCGTCCTGGCGCCGTGGCGGTCACGTGCTCGGCGAGAGACGACACGAAATGGGCTCCCTTCATCAACCCACATTCACCGGCATGGCGAAGTGTGGTCAAACCATCGCCCCCCTCGCACCATGACTAACGCACCCTAACCATGGCCCTCTCGTAATAATATTTTCCTCCGTGATGGGTGTGGTTGAAGCAAGTGACAGTGTTTCGGGCTAATCCTACATAATGCACGAGCATAATATGACTTTGAAACCCCCCCCCACCTCCTACGCATTCCACAAGTAGTGACTAATCCCATATCTGCATTTTCCATAAATATGCTAAATTCCTCTTGATATGCAAATTCTTTTGTCAAGGCGCTCTTCCCCCTCCAACCCAGCTTAAATATACGCTGCCAAGCCTGGTGGTGTTTCATTCAGACGTTGTCTTCCCGACAAACCTGTTCTTCACCTGAGGACGGCTGCTTGCGTTGTGGCCGAAACGTCGTGAGAATTATTTTATTATGTTTTATTTTTATTATTTTATTATTTCCCTTCTACGTGACTTTACCGAAAGAACCAAGAAGAACAATGTCTACGTTGCGAACTTCCGAACTACCGAGTCCAAAGTGGTGACCCAGGCTCTCAGAGGTTCCCGCTCGGCAGTTTGGCATCGCGCATTCTCCACGCACGCAGCTAACTGTCGCGATTCGTCTTGCCAGTGAAATGTATGACGTGCCCATGGTTCTGTGTTGTTGGGACCTAAGAGCCATTGTGGCGGGGAAGGCTTGCGGTAGGCCGGCCGTTATGTCACGTTAAGATGAAATAACACCGCAAACGCTGATAATGTCGCGTTGGGAATGAAACGTGGCTTTCATCAGGGTTTGGACGTGAATGGCCCTCGTTTGGCAAACCTGTTAGGGCAGCCCTTAGTGAAATAAACCTGCCACCGGATGGCAGCCTCCGCTCCTCTGATGTGTAAGTTGTGTGTGGCAGGTGCGCACAGCAATAAACAATGGCACTGTGAATTCACCGTATAAAGATATTAAACAACACAATGACCACTATCATGGCTACTACTCTTACTACTGCTCATGCACATAGCCTGTCAAAAACCAAAATGTCATTACATTTTTTTTCACGTGATCACTATTACCGTATCACTCAATAACGTCAGTGTCTTTCTGTTCAGATGTGTGTGAGTGATTGCTCGTCTCCATTACTGCCTCTGAGCCAGTGGTGGAAATTCCACATTGCTATGGCAGGGATCAATCTCTATACAGGACAACCACTGCTGATGAATGGCCCACGATAGGTTGAACTGACGTCATCTGGGATTTAAATTCATGATCTGCAAATTTAATGTTGGGTGGAGCGGTGACAGTGCTCAGCGCATTGGACTGTGCAACCTGAGTTCGTAGCAAAGTGGGAAGAATTCACCTGCTCAAGTTAACGCTTTTTAAATGGACACAAGTAGAACTTTGGCATAAAATGACCACGTGGCCTCACCCAAAGACAAATCATTGTGTTGGCTAAGTTAAGTTGAAGATAATTGACATGTACGTTCCAACAACACGCCACAAAGCTATAGAAGTACAGTACAGGCAGTCCCCTAATACGAACGTCCAAGCTTGAAACATCTGCAATTACGAATTAATCGCCAAAAAGATGTTATTTTTTTGTTACAATCAAACTTATGAATATGCAACGACATAATCAAACGTTATACAATCTAGCGCCATTCACAATTAAATTATCAAAGTGCTTCATGAGTAAACATGAAATTGCATAAATAAAATGTAATTTCCACGTAATAAAAAGTATACACATAAGTTCAAATTATACAAAAGAGATGATAAAATACATCTTTAGCTTAATTTAAAAAACCGAACACCTTCCTTATCAAACGGTGTTCATGGTGCACTCCACATCAACAAAACGTCAACCTGCACACTGCACCACAAACACCTGACATGCTGCACCACGAACACCCTGCACGCATGATCACGTGACCCAAAACCCTCGACTGAGAATCTCAAACTCAGACTCTAAACCCACAAACTTATCTCAGGAACCCATAAACCAGGACTACGAACCCACAAACCCGGTCCGCGAAACCACATTGCCTACTTCCCACATTTGTATATTCTTCAAAACGAGCCTGAATGATTATTCTTGTAACATCATTGTGATACCATTATGATATTACATTCTGTGTACACGGAGTGTGGTTGCAACTTGGCCTCCGCTCTGCCTCTCTCCTCCACAGCCAAGGAGCTGCTGCGAGGGCTTCTCAAGGTGGACCCGGCTCACCGGCTTACGGCCAGCGAGCTTCTGCACGACCACTGGGTCACGGTAGGTACTAAGAGTAAACTGTTACAAGTGATGCTTTTTTTCATTTTATGTTACCAGGCAAGGCCCATTCAGCTGCTATATTGCTCTTTTTCAAAAGCGACCTAGCTATCACAAATGATAGCTCAACGAAGTAGCTTATCACGTGGACACTTATTGATTCTAAATGTGGAGGGAAAAACCGGAGAACCACGGAGAAAAATCCACGCAACCCCAGGGAGAGAGACACGCAAACTCCAAATATACAGCAGGCATCAGGGTCGGGATCGAACACACGACCTCCTGCATACCAGGCGAGGGATTGAACATCTCACCACTGCGACACGCGAGGCCATCTCTGCTGGCTGGAGGTGGCGTCCCGTTTGGGGATCAAAACATTTATCACAATACCAGGACTGTGAAGAATTGCACACAAATGCATTGTCTTGAGTCGAGTATTAGGATGCAAATTACAAAAAAATGGAACCTTTAATGTCCCAATAAGACATACAGATTCCCCAGGATAACAGCTTTCTCTAATAAAAGATGATCCTGGGAGAGACAGCATTGGTGGCAACTCTACTGTTGACACGGCAGGTATCTGTGATGTGAGTGTAATGCAGTTCCAGTGAATGTGTGTGTGTGTGTGAACCTTAACTTTATTTGCTGTCTATGTGGGTATAGAGTATGTTGGAGTGGGTGCACTGAGCTATAAAACCTGTCACCTCTAAGTTCTAAGTCCTGACCATGCCTAACATTACTTCTCAGAGGTGTAACAACTTCTCCCGGGCCACTGCAAGGTGAAATCAGCCTTGACAAAATGAGTATTTGCTGTAGCATGTGAACATCGCTAGCGGGGAGATGAAGGTAGCCTGGTCACAGTGCTGGTCACACCACCCTTGCATGGCCGATTTGCCTTGATGGGTGCTCGCTAACAACACTTGCCCCAACACTCTTTACGACTATATGAGGGAACTTTGGCTATTTGAATACGATATGTATGCACAGCCCTTTGGAGGTGAAGTTGATGGATCAAGCGTATTTGTAGATTTTATCAGCCGAGCAGTGGCGGCTATGCACATGGCCTGTCATCCAGCACTGTGGAGGCAGTGCGGGTGTATGGATTGCACGGATGTGGTGAAACTCCCATCCCATTGGACGCTCAGGGGGAACCATACCCTGGCTCGCCAGGAAAAGGGAGTACAGCAAGTGGTCCAATTACAATCTGTGTCCATCTGTATGGGGATAGGATGTTGTCACCTCGCGCGCGAGGGTTTTCTCCAGGTGCCCTGGTTTCTTCCGACGAGTATAAACACTCATCATTAATTGGCTGGGAAGATATCTAAATACAAACCTAATGCAGGACCCTGCCTGAAAACGAATCATACGTCTCAGTGTGGCTTTCCTGGATCAGTAATTAAATGAACATCATTGTATTAAATTTCGATTTAAAGCTTTCGTGACTGCAGGGATTCATCTTCTTGGTTCTTTCGGTAAAGTCACGTAGAATGGAAATAATAAAATAATAAAAATAAAATATAAAATCATTCTCATTATTTCCATTCTACGTGACTTTACCGAAAGAACCAAGAAGATCATTGTATTACATGATGCGACTCCCTCACTCAGGGCTTATACGCGACCAGCAGGTGGCAGTGCAGAAAATGCATTCTGACTTGGTAACAAAATACAATATTTCATATTTCCCACACAAATAATAAAAATTGCAGCAATGTATTACATATCTGTACCAAGGTCACATTGTCTACTGTTGTAGATGTCTCTTTCTCGGCTTGACAGACGCGTGAAATGGGTTTCGTCCAGTCGCACGAAATCTTTGGACAGTGTCACTTGTAGCTTTGCTCTCCAACACAGAACCGGCGTGCTGTACTAGTGACGAATTGGCGTGTTCTGTTTACGTGACAAACCATTGCTAGTTGACGGTGGCGGGTGGTGGCGGGTTTAACGACACATTTATATATTGGCGCGATCCAACCCAAAAAAACCTCTATTATGGATATTGGTGGCAGCATCCAACTTGGCTTAAATCGAAAAAAGTGTCCTGAATTCCTAACTTCTTGGCCTCGTCAACTGAGCTCGAATCCCACTGATCCTGCATTGAAGATGCCTCGTGCATTACACACAAAGTCTATATTCCAGGACTTTAAGCCGATGATGTCCCGAGGAGGAGAGAGAGAGAGAGAGAAAAAAATCCCCACATTTTTAAGGCATTAAAGCTTGGGTATATTCGCACTTGCGTAAGCTGACACGTCTAACTTTGATCATATTTTACGTTTTTGATCACGTATTCATGTGTCCTTAATGAGTGCCTAAAAGAGAGAGTGGGCACGCATTTATATCACTGGGTTAGTACAAATTAAAGTATATAGCGTATTAACATATAGAATGGGCTGTCTGCCTTGCATTTAAAGGAAGCACTTTGTGACGGGCCAAATTGTACTATTCCTGATGAGCGTTTAGTATGCGTCAGTTGACCCCAGGAAGCTGTGTGGATTTGTACAAAATTAAGCAATAACCAAATGGTGTTGTATTTATCTAGGTGCTATGAATCACGTAATAATGGACACAAAAGCTCCATTGCTCATCGCCTATATATTTGATATCAAGGGCAAAAAATGCAACGCTGCATGGATCTCTATTTAAATTTGATCATCTTTGTTTTTCCCCGCTTAATAACTGGATTTGGGTTTTCATTCGAATGTAGAAGCGTAGCGTTCTTATGCACATTAATTATTATTAATAAAGGTTTGCTATTTAATTACTGCGTTTCTTTATTGCAAAAAAGCAATTTTGTGGTGAAAGTAATGAATTAATAAAAAAATACAAATTAATTTTTCATACGTATATAATTATACGCACGTCAAAAGTTATTTTAAAATGAACCAATGCGATGATTTTCTTTTGCAATTTTCAACCAAAACTAAAAAATGCTCCTTTTCATCGTAGCTGCTGAATTAAACATGATGTGGGTAAATTAATTTTCTCCGACAATGTTTGAACGTGCAAATTCCATGCAATGCAGGCAATATAAAAAAACATAATTACTTCCACAATGGCACAATATATAATTCCGTTTGATCTTATTTGACTAGCCTATCAAGCTGCACAACTTTTGCGGGGTGGGATTTTTCTCATACTTGTCTTCGATGAGATTTGACTTCACCCAATAGCGAAGCGTGCGTACAATTTTTTAGGTCAAAGTCCTCTCTGTAATGCATTGTTATTTATTAATTTTTCGTGCTATGTTTGTCAAATTAATTGTCGTGTCATATTGGTGGAGAACTCGAGGCTCGCAATCGGAAGGCTGACAGCTTATGTCCCACTAAAAAGTTTACTTGGCTCATGATTCTCGTGGGGGTTGATAAAATAAGTACTTCTTTGTGGGAAGTCAGCAGAGGCTGTCTTGTAGAGAAGTTGACCACCACCATGAGAATGTGGATTGTATACTTATGATCACGGGAACTCTCAAGCGCTAAACATTTCTCATGCAGGGCTCCAGGAACGGAAACCATCAGCGGACAGCGCTGCCTCGACAAGCTGAACTTATCTCTGATCCACTCGCATGGCGTGTGTGGGCCGGGTGCTGCCCCCGCAGGGTGACACCTCAAGCCTCGGCAGGCCGCTCAACGTGCTGGAGATGATGAAGCGCTACAAAGAGATGGGCGGCGGCGAATGCGATGGGGAGACTCGGTGGGAGGGAGCAGCCGTGCAGCGCGACGCCACTGGCGGCGATGGCGGCGTCGACGGCGCCGGCAATGGCCTGGGACCCGGCGGGGAGCTGGAGGCTCGGGGGCGCTCGGAGGCCGGAGACGGACCTGCGGCGAGCGAGAGGCACGAATGCAAGTCGGCCACGGACGGTGATGTGGCCAGCGGCGGTGGAGGGAGCAGTGGCGGAAAACCACCGACTCCGACTAGAAAGGTGGACATTGCCGCATCACAGCATCGTCATCATCATTGGGAGCATCATATCACTCGCCACGTCGGCTTTCGCGGTTGTGCTCTATGATAGCTGTCCGATGTATTTCGCTCCATGTGCTGCAACTGAAGAAGCTTTCAGAACGTGGAGTAAAACGTCGGACATCATGCCGAACAGCATGCGGTACAACCCAGAAACACATCATAGAGCGATTGTGAGCAACATAATTCACCATCATCATCATCAACCTCTTTTAGAAGGTTTTTTGTCACAGAAAGCGATTTGTGAATTGCTACGAACCTCCTTCCTCCCACCCCCCTCCCACAAAGTCCATAACCTCTACTTTAATGCAATTTAAATTACGTCTTTGATCACGTATCAATGTCCCATAAATTTTTTTTTTTTTACATATTTTATTTCTCTGGTGTTCCCAGACAGCTCTTTTACCAGCCCTAATAATAAGAGAACCCACACCAAAACAAATATCATAGTGATATACTCCTGTTCAGAGTAATAATAAACACCAGACATCACTCTGCCTATTCTTTCATTTACATGCTTCAACGTTGTATTTTAGATTCAATTTCCAAATTGTTCAGGCCTGGGGTAAGTTGACATTTAGCTTTTTTGTGTCAGTAGTTATTTACTTGTCTGTATCACAATTTCAGATACACTTTGCCTCTGTGTCTGCTTTAATAGATGGTTAAAAACAATTTTTTATTAAAGTTTTTTTTAAAATCATCGGTTTGGTCATTACTGGCAACTCTAAACCCGACTCTTAAATGTCACCACGAACAGTGGGTTCTTGGCAATGTCTGCAGTAGTGGTTATGGGAATGAAACTTTATTCCAGATACTCAGATTGCCAGCAACAACCTGCAATCATTTGCAAAATGCTAGTAGTAGGCAGTATAGTTTGAATCTTGATATATAATTTCACGCAATAACTCATTGATTTTTCAATTTGAACCACATGCTAGACATTTGTAAAAAAAAAGTTGCTATATGTTTTATTTTTATCCAGCCATCAGAATTCTGCCTTGTAGCACAGACACCCAATTTCAAGCCGTATTAAATTGGATAATGATGCATCACCAATGGGTAATGACGCATCACCTGAGCAGGTGGCAAAGCCACATTGGGAATTTGGAGTGACCTCCATGCAGGCAGGAGTGGCAGCAGATCGGCACGGAGACAGTTGGCATCCACTTATTTTAAGTGCCTGGCAAAACTTTTTGCTCAGGGGCTCATACATCACGTCCCTTAAATACAAGGTAGCCCTATCACCTGTCTCGTTATTGGTCTGGTTCGCGCTAAATTGATATAATGGCAGATTTGTGAGCTAGTAGCAAATTTGTGGTGTTCCTCGCAAAGTGCGACATGACGTGTTGTTTGGGATTGATTGCAACTGGAGCGGTGCTTTACCACCAGCAGCAATGTCCGCTTGCGTGCGTGGGGAGCGGTGGCGCAGCGGTTAACGCTCTGCAATACAAACCCAGCAACCCGGGTTAGATTCCCGCTCACGGCCAACACCAGTGACGATTATCTGAACCGGTCCTGGGGTTCCTCTAGGTCGACTCAGCCTCAAATAAGTACCCGGTGCGGTGTGTAAACATCGCAACTAGGGAGACAAAGGTGGCCGGGCATGGTGCTGACCACTCACCAGCGTGCTATGTTGGCCTGCACAGGTGCTCGCTAACAGCAATTGCCCCAAAAGTCTATTAAGGCTATATGCAGGGAGTACAGGCGATGCATCTGCCAGTCATCTCAGTCAGTCAACCCATGGCTCCCGGGTGTGTCCTGTGACCTCCTGCCAGCGAACCTCCAACACTCCACGTGGCCTCAAAGTGCATCTCGCCTGGCACAAGCACTCTAGTCACATCATCACCACTTAGTGGCGAATTGCAGCTGTGGCTGTTGTGTCCACGGTGCACGCTGACAGCTCTCGCCCCAACAGTTGTTTCTTTACGTGTTCACGGGGCGTATTTGTGTAGCGTCTGGCTGGGTTTTTGCAGTTGCTTAGGCGCACTTAGTTTACGTTTTGAAAGTTCAAATCCCATTTGGGATCGGCTCAATGCATCGTAGCCTGGCAGCGATGAGCTGACGAGCAGTTTTCTTCGGGGTCAAAAGCGGTTGCCTCACGGACAGACTGAACTCTGCCAGAGGTGGAAATTGGAATTTGGAATTTCCACCTCTGCCTCGAAGTCACGAACAGACGATGTGCCGCATGCCACTCCTCGAGCTAATCATCCACAGCCCTTTGTCAATCTATTGCTGGATGAAGCCCTCCCCGTGCCGCATTTTCCATAGTGGTTGCTTGACCATACCTCACCGCTGTGGTCAGCGCGGGTTGGTTCAGGGGTGTTGGGCGGTAAAGGACCGGATCCGATATCACATGGCACTGATGTTAGCCACGGGAGGAAATCAAACTCAGGTCGCCGGGTTCACAGCTCCATGCACTAAGCACTGTGCTGTGTATGTAGCAATTTTTTTCGCACCTTACCTTAACCAACCACGCTAATCGAAGGTGCAGGGGAAAGACAAACTAAACAGTTCGAAAGAAATTTGTTTTCAATTCAGATCTTAAAATTGTGTGTTTTTTCTCTCAAAGCATTTTCTACTTTCATCGTCATCATCATCAGTGTTGGTCAATCCACTCACTGCTGAATGAAGACTGCCATCATTCACAGTACTGCTGTGTTCTTGAGGCTTGGAACTCCCCCTTCTTCTTCTCCAACGTCTCCTTCTCCTTGTGCTGTCCTGTTTTATGCCTCCAAAGCCCCCTCTCTGGAAGCTTCTATCACCCTGCCCCCCACTCCCTTCGGTCAATCCTCACCCTTGCCTACGAACGGTTCTCATCCGTCCTTCTCCAGGCCACCCTTTCATAATAAAGGTTTTTGGGTGAGATCGCGTGAAGTATAAATGTGTCGTAACCCTCCACCACCCGACACAGCCACTCAGCAAGGGATTTGTCACGTAAACAAAAAGCGACATTGAGTTACTACTTCAGCCCCACCGGTGAGTTTATTACCTTTCAAATCTTTCCTCCAATCCCTTTCAATCTTCGCCTCCGGAACCAATCACCAGTGGGAGACCTTGGCCGACTTTCCTGATTGTTTGCCTGACAGTAACACTTGTGTTAGGTAAGCGGTCTGTTATCTCGGTCGTTACACACACACACACACATATATATTGCACAGAGGGGTCCAGCAATGATTTAAATGCACTCACTTGTAAGCAGAAGGACACTCTTGTATCCGCATTTAAGTGCTTATTTTTCAGTAGATCGGCTTATTGGCTCACCAGGACCAATACTATCCGCAAGGCTTTGATTTAAGCAAGAAAACTCGGGGCCAGTTTGAACCCTCCAGGTCTCTTCACAACAATGCATAACGAGTTTGATCTCGGTGAAAGGGAGAATTAACCCCTTCGAGTATGCATACGCAATCACCTAATAGAACGAGAAACAAAAGTCCGGAGAATAAAGATCCTGCTGACCAAAATCTATATCCATCAGGGTTAATCAGCACCGAAGCTCTGAAGTCAGAATCAATACAACTTTATTGGCAGGATGTATTATTCATACTGGGAGAGATGCCTTTGAACAAGGCTATTAAGTTTTTAGATATGTTAAATATTTAAGCTTGAGTAAGTGTATGCTGCGTTTGTGTGTAGCAGTTGTGCGGAAGAGCTGTAATGCCTTGGCTTAGAGCGGAGTATATTAATTAGCGAGTGCTATTTCTTTTGAGTGCGCAAAATAATTAATGGCAGTGGCGCGGGGTGAGCATTCATCATCATCATCATTGCCGTGGTCATGCGGGAACACGCGCATGGGACGCGGGCGTTCTAGGCCTAGGGTGAAAAAGACCTCGGCACCGTGGTCGCAAGGGGCAGCGATCATCAAACTTCCCACTTGGGGCCCAGAAAACTCTCTTGCATCGTTCACACGCCGCTTTTAATCACAGGTTCAGGTCAGGTGTGGCCGATAGCACTAATTGAATGATTGATAGTTTTAATTTACGACTCACGGATTGCTCAGAAATTAGGCAGGCCGTGTGACCACAGCCTCGTCTACTGTTGCCACCTGTCCTGGTTCTCCCAGGATCATCTCTATTCTGAGGTAGCTATCCTGGGAAATTTTGAAATCTTCCTTGAACGTGAAGAGGGCCGTTTTTTGTCAGTTGTGTAATAATAATACACCACTCAAGACAGCGCCTATGCAGGTAGTTCTCACAGTTTCGAGTATTGTGAAATATTATTTTTGCCGTGAAGTCTCCTGGCTTTTTGTACCTCAGGTGGCAACCCCAGTCTCGCCGGTTGCGCTTGTGTAAACTACTGAGGACACGCAAACATTGAGCACGGATTTTCCTTAAAGTTCTGCCCAACTGCAATTGCATTCCGCAAGGAGAGAGTGGTTGGTATCGATGGACAATCGCAACCACAAACCTCTGCAACAAGTGGTCATCGCGCGACCGCTTGCCACGGGTGCCACGGGTGCCACGAGCTGTCTCGTTCTCTGCAGGGTTCCCAAGCATCCATCAAGAAACCCTCTGGGCCGTGTATCCAGGGAAAGCAAGGCAAGAGAGAAGTCAACACCAACGGCGTCGCCAGGCCCAAGATGGTGAGTGGTAGAGCTCCAGATATCCTCCTCCGGAAGGTATTTTGGTCTCCAATTCCATGCTAATTGGAAATCTTAGAAGATGTGAGAGTACCTGCAGATCCCACTGGAGGTGGGATTTGAAGGTGGGATCTGGAGGTGGGGGTTGCTGCATCGTGCAGAGCATGCCAGGCACCCACCGGGCCTGCACAATTTTCTCTGTTCTGATGGAGTCGCTCGCCATTTACAGATTTGATTATTGTTGTTGGCGCCAACCTGTCAGATTACGAGACGGCCCATCGGAGGCAGTGCAGCAAAATTGGTTGCTGACCCCTCTGTGTGTGTGGGTTTTCTCTGAGTGTCCTAACTTTGTTTCACGCGAGAAAATACTCTGAAAGCTTGCCAAACATCCCATACACAAGCTTCCTGAAAAAGTATTGATATGTGTGTATGTATGTTGAACTTCTTTCGCACCGTACGTAGCCAACCGTGCTAATCGGATGTGCGGGGGAAGGACAACAAACTACCCACAACCAGCAGTTGTAAAGAAATGCGTTTAAAATCTAGATTTAAAAGTGCATAGCTCCAGTGGGCTTCCTAATATCGGAAGGTTATTGAGTTTCATAGGTAAATGGGAAAGGTGCAGAGGGAGCTCTATACAGCCCCTCGAGAGGTATAACTTGGCCTACTCTTCCACGTTGGCCAGATGTCTTGCTAGAGGTGGAAGTATCCACACTCTATCCCACCACACACGACCAGCCCATTAAACCAACGTAAACTGACTTTGAACAGAACATAATGTGAATATCATGCAATGATAAATGGAGTGCTGACACATGAAACACGTTTGTTAGCATGTATAGCTACATGCAGCGTTTTGTGACACAGCTTCAAGGGCAAGCGTCAGAGCACATAAGCAAATGTTGGGGCATGAAAGGACTTCATATTCTTAGGTTTTTATCGGTAAAGTCACGTAGGTAAAAACAATTAAAATTAATAAAAGTAAAATAAAAATAAAATAAAAATCACGACGTTTTGGAGGCAACACAAGCATCCGTCTTCAGGTGGAACAGTCACAGCGCGATTGCTGTTTCAAGTACTTGAAACAGCAATCGCGCTGTTACTTGAAACAGTAATTGTGCTGTGACTTGAAACAGCAATCGCGCTGTGACTGTTCCACCTGAAGACGGATGCTTGTGTTGCCTCCGAAACGTCGTGATTTTTATTTTATTTTGATTTTACTTTTATTAATGTTAATTTATTTTTACCTACGTGACTTTACCGAAAAAACCTAAGAATATGAATCCTTGCAGTCACGAAAGCTTCAAATCTAGAAATAAAAGGACTTAACAAACACAGCGACAACGTCAGGCCATGTGTTGGAGCACAAGGATGCACGTCAGGGCGGATAAATATGATATTTTGCAAAGTCATGCTTGCGATAAAAAAAATAAAACCCATTTCAAAATGACATATTTCACGCGACAATTCCAAGTGCCTTTTATTTTTTTACATAAAAGCACCGCAACTTGAAATAAAATACTTTGTGAAGCTCAAAGTGGCAATTGTAATAGCGGCCAGAAGTAAGAAATTGTTAAAGCTACTTTACACGACAAGCATATTAACCATTCATTGGGCGCCCTTTCATGCGTCAAAGTGGCCGTCCATGAGTGCCATCGTAAGACTCGTGAGTCTGGTTGGTGTTGTGTTTACAGTTAGTACTTTGATGGATGAGGATTCACGCGTTGATATTTTTTCACGTCAGAGTTCTGACTAATGTTCGAGCGGGGGAGAGTTTATTCGTTCTAATTAGAGACAAGGGTTAGCATCAGGTTGAAGGTGATAGAGCGATTGTTGGGTTTTGTTTTTATGGTGGCTTAGGTTTTATGGTGAGTATCTGAGTAAGAGCCAAGTCAGGAGTTTGTGTTTTAGTTTGTTACATTGGCGGTAGGACACGGTGTTTAGTCTACTGTGTAAGTGCCATTCGCGTAATCCCAACCCTACGAATGATGAGACACGGCGTGTCAAAACCAGTCCAGATCTTCCTTGTATTGAACCGATGCCGTTGAAACGATGCACTCCCAGAGAATGCTTTGTGGTTGATGGGAAGCGTAAAAACTAGAATTAGATTTTTTATGTGGAGGGAGAAAAATATTTTCTGCCTACTTATTTTGCCTCAAATATAGAGTTGGTATTAAGATTAGCTTTAGAGTTTTTTTTTTAATATTGAGCTCAGTGTTATAGTTTATGACGAGGAGTGGTGTTTGGTTCACTGTATTATTTGTGATAACACTACCGTGTGTATCCAGTCAGCTGACTGATGTTGGAACGCTTCTCTTGCTGCAGCAAGGTTGCAAATTCAAATCCAGGTTGGGGGTCATTTCAGCCCATGAGATCCCTCCGAGGTCAGCAAAATAAAACTACCACTCTTCGGTAAGCCAAACAGCGTTGGTCCTTTGGCTAGACGGGCTCCCACCGCCGGCTCAGCAGCACCAAGAGAGTCGAGTGCCGCCAATCTGCCCCTTGCGAGCGGCGAGACGGTCACTTTCACGTTATTGCACTCCACCGCCTTCGACTCCGAGTGCTGCTCCGATCGCAACGGCGCTGGCATGCATTATTTATTGAACAAAAATCACAGTTTCTAAAGCGCGGGGGCCCAAAGGTTCAAACCGCCAAGAGTCGTTCACAACAGATAACAGTTGATGTGTTTCTTGAATTGAGCAAGGTTACGAGAACTTGGGAGGATGGGAGTGAGTCCCAAAGTCGGGCAGCGCGAAGAAAAACCATGGAAAGAGGAGCATTGAGGTGCTCGAACACAGCAGAGCGAGCCCTCAACATGGACGGCAAAATCAAGGAGAGAAGTTCGCAGCAACGGTAACCATGGCAACTGGCCGTCTATGGCCGAGCGACCGTAGTGAATCAAGCCGGGTCATCGGTCAACCTCGACCACTTTCGTCGGACATAACCGCGCCATATTTAACCGTCGTCCGTTCACGCCGCCCCCCCCCTCTGCCCCCCCAGCCCACGGTCGGCCGGCGCGCCAGCATGCCGTGCACGTCGTCGCGCGGCCCGTCCGCCGAGGGCCTTCCCCTCGGGGCCGGCGCGACGGCCCAGCCGCCGCTGGCGCCCACGGTGCAGCGCGCCACGCTGAGCAGCCGCGGGGAGGTGCGGCGAGGGCCGGGGTCGGCCCCGTCGCCTCGGCCCGAGCTGGCGTCCGAAGGCGGCCCCACGGCGGGCAGGCCCGGCGGCGGGGGAGGCGGGAGGATCGCGGCACCGTGCGGCAAGAACGCGCACCGCAACTACTAGGACTTGGGGGAGCGCCACTGTTGCCGGCTCGCAAGGTTATGCTGCGGGGCTGCTCGTATCTGATCGAAAAGTCTATTCGGCCGACTGCTGATTGTGCGTCGTAAAGCAAACTGAGTGCTCGTGTTATTGTTATCGTCGTGATTATCGCAATTGCCTTTGGTTTTGTTGTCATTGTTATTGTTTGCCTGTATCTTGTGTCATAGGCTGGAGTGCGGTAGCTTCGTCGGTAGGGCAGCTCGGGTCTGATTTCGTGAGTTCACGAGGTTGTGAATTTAAATGTCGTCACCATCATCGTGATCCCTCCAGAGTCGTGAAAATGACCACTACCGGGTAAGGCTGCACGACTCGGTGGGGAGTCAGCTGCAGTTGGCCACCGTTCCTCGTGGACTGAGAAATAGCCGAGGACCAACAATGGAAATGAGCAGCAGCAGCTCATCCTCATCGGAGTGTGCAGGCATCTTGGATCTTTAACTGTTTCGCAAACGAACAACGCAAAGGTGAAAGCGCACTTCTGCTTGCGTTCGAATTGAGCGCAAAATGTGTGACCCAGTGCGTGCGCGTGCGCTGAGCGACGCGGGCGCTGTTCAACGTGAAAGATGCCATGCCTTGTGAAAAAAAAAAAAATGCCGCCGCCAAGTCGGAGCACAGAGGTTAGGGTCAGAGGGAGTGCTGCTACGGCGTGTTCTCACAGGCGCCGTGTCTCCTGGCTGATCGCACAAGCCGCTCCACCCGTGACAGACCCACCTTCTATGTGCGGCAATAGGCGAGTCCATTCTTTTTCACCGCGTCAATTTTTTTCACATTCCGCACTTACAGCAACGCACAACGCAGCGACGCACCGCGCGTCACATCGGACTCAAGGCGTCTGGGCGCAACCTACTATAAACTGGTTAAATGACAATGTACCCTTATTTCTAAGATCCCACAGATATCATAATTTTGACCGTGATAGCTAGTTTTGAACTGTTAGAGAGTCTGCATGTGTCTACGTGTGTGTGTGTGTCAGCGCATGATCTGGTAATTGTGATCGCCACCACCAACCTTGGGGACAAGCATTTTGTCTTTGTGCATTGCACGAGGCTAGCCTCACCGACGATGCTTCTGCCGTTCGCTTGGCAAAGACTTCAGAGGCGGTGCATGTCCCAGTCCGGTTGGCGAGGGCCAATTAAATGAGACGTGCACCGAGAGACAGATGCGTTTGGGTTTTTTTTTTGTGGGTGTTCGAGTCCACACGAACACCCGCTCGCTCATACTCCCACTTGTTCAGAGCGCGCTGCTGATTTCTTTTTGCGCAGTGCAATTCAGCACCAATTTTGCGGAAGGTCTTGCAGAATGCCAGGGTGCGTAGGATTCTATTACCGATTGCTCATAAAGCTCGATTGCCGATTTTTCAGCAACGCGGTCAGTCCAAGTTCTCATTTAGACGATCACGTCGGCTGAAGTTTGCAGGCAAAGGCACACGCACAAGCGTGCGCATACAAGTGCGCTGGGCAGCTTTCAGCCCTTGAAATTGGACAATGTTATTTATTTCCTAAATAAGCCTGTGGGAAACTGTTTGCACCAGATCTGATCCGAAGGCCTTGACTGCTGACCCCACCGTTAAATAAATGTGACAGCATTACGACCGCACAGCTAAGAGAGGGAGTGCGCCTTGGACACCATTACCCTGTATGCATGAGGTCTTAAATCACCGAGCTCTTATCAATAGCAATAGTGGACAGTGCTAATGGGAGTGCCTTTCCCATTATCTTGGTTATAGGACATAGAACTCTGCTGAAGGTTTGTAGAAATGTTGCTGAATATATACGCATATTGACAATAATTCTTAAGTCGCTGAGAGCTATACAAGTGTACAAATGGAACACGATACCTCGATGTTGTTTTTTGTTGCCGCAAAATTGGATTTTTATTCGCAAGGTCCAGTGCACTAATGTGCACGCTGTGGACTCAAATAATTGCGGTCGCAAAAAATGGTAAAATATTCTCAATCCCGGCTTGAGTCGCACCGTTAAATTTCACAACTCGCATTCCTGTTTTGCTGTCGCCAAATTCCTGACCACATGCCAGCAGGCTAGAGATGTGCGGGTGGCATCAGTGGATTGCGTAGATATGGAACCACTGTGCCGTTGGTGGAGCTAGTAGTAAACAAACCCAACAAAAACGTAGCCCCAAGAAGCTCAAGGTACCCTTAGATTCAGAATCAATTTCTTAACTCTATCTTGTTTGCATGTCCCTTCTCTCATCTCATTACATATATATTTTTGTCAATGCGGTCTTTCTCTTATTTCACTACAACCATACCTCTAGCCAATAACCATTCTCTCATCTCACTTAAAGGGGGGCCCTCAAACAATAAATTCTGCTTAGGGCCCACAATGGGCCAGAAATGCCACAGGAGGCAGCACAGCAAGTAGGCTTAGAATAGTCTGTGCAGATTTTGAGCATTCTATGTTCATGGACATTGGTTTCTCCAGGCACTCTGGTTTCTTCCCAAATACAAAATTACAATCACGTTTCCCCCCCCCAAACATCCCATATAGAACACTCCTGAATGAAGATCAGGGATTCTGTGGGTTCATCCTGATAAAGACTTTGTTCACATTTCATTTCCTGCACCTCCGATTAGCACGGTTGGCTACGTACGGTGTGAAAAAAGTTCAAAGTACATATCCTGATTACACAATTTAAACTTATGGCGGTACCTCTGGGTACCATAGAACCCTGGCTCTCGCAATGTCCGTGAAGCAGTCATTTTTAGTCTGTTGATGGTCGGCGATGCAGCGATCGACTCATCTCAACGAGCTGTACACGATGCACCGCTATGGTGCGTACAAGCGTTCAGGGTTTCAGCGCAATTGTCCTCGCTGCGTTTCGACATCGCTGAGTAGCACTGATTTCGGACTGATTGGTACCCCAGTCGCGGAGTTAAGTAACACCCCTGGAAAAAATAGTGTCCCAGAAATAAAATATTTAATTGCCTCGGACATATTGTATCATTTGATACCCCGGGGTACCGCCATAAGGATCAATTAGTGTACACGTAACAAGCAAACCAACACCAGTTATTTGTGGGCACATGTAATATATAATATCGCTCGTTAATAAACACTGCACACATAGCCATACACACCAGAATCAGCTGTTACGTTTTGGGGCATCACAGTTGGCGTGTGCGCAGCCTCTAAGCAAACTTGTTTATCAGAGCAGTTTTGACGCCCTCTAACCAACGTTTGAAAGCGTCAATGCTACTAGCTCTGTCCATCTGTCTCTCTGTGACAGGGGGTCACGATGACTCTCGTAAAGATGACCGAAACAAATATTAATACCATTTTACCATCAAGTTGAGTTGCTAATTGGGACAGCCGATTGTAAATCATTCACATTCATGAATGGATAAAAACCCAGCACTAGATGGATAAGCCCTTTCAGCCAAGGCATTGACTTCACACGCCAGGCCCACTCCTCGTTCACGTCCGCAAAAACGAGACCTCATATCTTGACCCCAAATCATGACAATTTATTTAGCGAGGACATTGGGCATCTATTTAATATCTTATGCCCGATGTCCAGATACCTCGGCTATATATAGACAAAAGCATTCGTTGTGTGATGTACTGTACAAGCTTGTGATCTCCCCAGTACCTAAAGAGCGACGTCTCTTTAAAGTCAGGCTCAAGAGACGTTGGCAGGTAGGCTGTCCCCGTCCGTGGCTATCAACAGCGTGCGCCTAAATACTCTTAACGCCTTTGACAAGAAGCACACGCGGGCATATTTGCAACGCCCGCAATACCTTACAAAGCTTGGGCTGGATTATTCTCACTTGACAGCAAGGAGTCATGTCTACAACCATGCCACTCTCGACTTAAACCCTGGTAAACCCACTCATTTCGTTTCTGTCGGTAGGACACTGGGAAGCTGAGGGCTGCGTGATACCGTTAAAGACAACTTTACAAGACAAAAGGGAGTCGCGTCAGGTCTGCCGATCTGTGCTAATGGAGCGACGCATACCACTGGTGTGGCTGTGAGGAATTAAGATAGGGTGGGGAAAGTGAGGGCATGCTGCTGCTGCCGTGATGCGTTTCTATGTTGTGACCAAATAATAGAGGACACGGCTGCCTTGCCTGAAAGCCCCCATGGTTGTGAGCACAGCAGAGTTATGCAGTCAGCGATCTGAACACAGTGTGGCTGGCCAATGGGTCAAGGATGCACGTTTGTATCGGCAGCAGTCGAACCCAGATCACTCACTCTTGGCTGGAGCGGGAGGTGGGAGGGGAGTGGTGGCGCTGTGGTTAGCGCACTATGCCGTGAACCTGTCTTACCCGAGTTTGATTCCTTGGCGATGGATAACATCAGTCGACGAGCGACGTTTGATTCATGACTGCCCCCTTCCGCCTCTTGACCAACCCTCACCAATCCGCTTCACAGCATGGGGAGGTCTTTATCAAGGCAATGGAATGATTAAGGGCTGTAACTTATTATTTTGAAACTGTATTGTATATTTCATCACGGGCTCGTGAAAGCCACGGCTAAGTCTCAACTGTTCCGGGAGGGCCACGTGACATCGTGGGAAGATTATTGCTCGTAACATCAGGCAACCGAGCAGCGATTGTTTAACAGACCACACTCTAAATCTTGACTTAAAGCTTTCGTGACTGCAGGAATTCATATTCTTTGGGTCTTTCGGTAAAGTCACGTGACTTTACCGACAGACCCAGAGGATGAGACTTACACACTGCTGCCTGTGCTACTGGACAAAACATTGTTCCAGAATCCCCATAATCTGATGGAAACGGACTGCTCATTGGCTCCTGTTTGGGAACGAGCTCAGTGTTCTAATTGAGAAGTGTTGTAGTGAACCATACGGGATGTTTGTGATATTATATAAACCAATTCGCAAATTTAGTATTAAAGCAACTTAATACCGTGTTTTTTACTTTCAATCTCACAACGACTGCTGTAGGTGTAATTGAAATAACGTGCACTAACGGGCATGAATCAGTTCCCCGATGATATATGTTGGAGCACACAAAAAATTGGCTAAATTTGTTCAAATTCGATTTTCTTAAAATTGAACCAAACCTAAACTACAATCGATTTTTGTCTCCTCAATCCAACCAATCAACCATCAACCCACCACAGGAACCGGTGATATGCTGCCGTGCATGCTTGGCTGTTTGGTTTATGGGTTAAATCGGAGAATAAATCTCACCCCGGTGTGTTCTTGAACCGTGTGTGGTGGCCGGTCCCTTGCCCGTCCATTCCCAGGCAAGGATTGGCTGCGTGCCCACTGGACTGCGATGTTGCAATGAGTTGGAGGTACAGCGAGTGGCTCCGCGAACCTATCTGTGCACAATGTGTTCAGTGCTATCCCCTTCTGTGCGTGGCACGTTTTCTACCAAAAGAAATAAACACATTCCTTAAAAAAGGAATTGGCCAATCATCCTAAACAGGACCCTACTGCAACAACATCGTCTCGGGACTCATTGAGGCTTCTCTGAATAAAATGACGTGATCGTTATTTAGGTAAAGAATGAATGCATGCAAATGAAAGAAAGAAAAGGGATCTCACCTGTAATTGCTTTATGAAAGGCGCACAATTCTCATTTTCTAGATTACCGAAAGGGAAAAAAATCACCTGCAAAAGAATATCTATTTTGTGATATCATAGCATTTAGATTAAGATTAGGAACAAGGACTAGGCAATGTTTTTTCTTTCTTACATTGTGCGAGGGGAATAGCAAACCTTGGGCCATTAAATCACCCCCAGGTCCTGACAGTTTGACTGCACAAAGAATCAATGTACAGTTGTTAACGTCTACTTGAGGGCAAATTAAACATCAATGGGGTCACTGGTCATATGTGCCATGGTTCAATGGAACATGGGCCCATCTTATTTGCTGCTTCGAGCGTGGCGAGGACCAGCGGGTTGCCAGCACCGGCCACCCGCAGCATCATCCCCCCACCACCTTCCCCCCACCTTCTCCAACCCGCCCACTACTCCCGCCGGCACGGCGAGTCAAATGCGCGATTACGGCACGAACCTGGGTCTTCGGCGAATATCGCCGCCGCGGTGACGTATCAATCACGCTCGCGGGGAGATTTTAGCGGCGCGTTCTCCGACCGCGTCGCGTTTGTCATCTCCTGCGAGAGCGAGCGAGCGTACGTGACGGCGAGAACGTAACACCGCGGCGGAGGCATTGCTCACGCATCGCGCCGAACCGCTGCCATCATTTGGCTTCGGCGTCACCTTTTGCCGCATCCGACTCGTTTACCCGAGACCCACAATCCAAGTGCCCCCCCCCCGCCCCCGCTGGACTCTTCGACGTTTTCTCAACGTTTCCTCGTTTACGGAACCACGCACGTGTTGGGCTGGTCGACAGAGTGGTAGAGCTGCACGGATTATTTTTCATCGGAAAGTGGTAGAATGTTAATGGGTTCTCAGGAGGCATCTTTCTTACTTTTTAATGTTGTCTTTTTCACATTGTGGAAGAATCCAATTTTACCAATGATTGTGCTGTGGGCATCAAGGCAGAGGGCAAATGCAGTTTCATAAACAGGACTCCTGAATGCAGTGGATCTTCTTGAGGGCACATCTTATCAAATAAATCGATGGGTTCTCTTTAGCTATGCAGATAAATGCAAGGTTTTGATCTATGCCAATGTGTCTAATGGGCCCTTTCAGCTGAATTTGAACAAATTAGGTTAACAAATAAATGTGTACACTGTGCTATGTTGTGCAATAGTGGCGAGACCGGGCAGAGAACACTCCCTTTATGGAGACTTTTAATTCTATTATATATACAGCTCGTGGTAAATTACCCAAGGGAGAAGTGGTGGTGCAGTGGTGTGCGCATTGCACTCTCGAACCAAGCAACATGGGTGGGGGTTTGATTCTCGGCCACGGTAACATCAGTGGTGAGCTATATATATACAGTAAAACCTTGGATTGCGAGCATAATTCGTTCCGAAAACGTGTTTGTAATCCAAAGCACTCGTATATGAGTTGTGATCACGTGACGCTCGGCAGATAAAGCGTATACACGTGCTACTCGTATTGCAAGACCTCGCTCGTTTATCAAATTAATATTAATAAAAAAAAATTGCTCGTCTTGCAAAACACTCGCAGACCAAGTTACTCGCAATCCAAGGTTTTACTGTATATTAACTTCCCACCGCCCTTCACCAATCCACCCTGACCAGTGTGGTGAAGTATGGTAAAAAAAAAAAACCCCTGTGACTAAAGCGGTGTGGAGATGCCTTCATCCAGCAGTGGACTGACAAAGGGCTGTAAATGACGACTAATGTAAAACGGCGCAAACTCGTGATATTTATCATCGCAGAGACACCGACACTTTGTCGTGCTCTCACTGACTGGGGACACCGAGCCAGCGATGTCACGTGCGCTTTCGCAAATACAATATTAAACAGTCCATTCCACAACCTCGCACAACAAATGTCAAAAGTATTACAGCCTTTGTAGTGTGAAACATAAAACAAAGTGCACATATGACCTTTTATTGCAGCAAAAAAAATTCTGGACTATAAATGCAGGATTTTTGGGTTATTACATATAAACTTTTTTTTTACACTTTTGCTGGAACCTGTATCGAATAAATCACACGGGCTGAGCTCAAAGGATACATGAAGGTCTACCGTCAGCCTTTGAGCACAGAGAGTGAAATGTAAGCCAAGGTGGAGCAGACAACTCTGCTAGGGATGTTGTGATCCATGGCCTTCACCGTGCATTTGTGGCAAGTGTAGCTGGCAGGAACGTGTTTCAATAAAACCCGTGTCCCATGAGGCGGTGGGAAGATTAACAAGTCAACACATTCAGCCTGATTCATATGTCTGCAAATGTTGCTTGCTTTTTTTGTCTTCATTCTGTGCAAGCAGAGAAAAAAAACCCCATGCCAACGTCTCCATCGCCATCAGCGGAGAAAATAGTCGACGCCGATGCTTTAGCGTTTTCAACAAGATGACAGTCTGGCCACTGCGATTACCTGAAATATAATCATGAAATGGCACTGATATATACAGGAACCAATTGGCTTAAGTGGGGTAATGGCTGCGTCAGAGAACCAAGAAGATTGGTTCGAATCCACGTAGCCGCCAGTGATTGAACCGCGTCCTCAATTTGTCGGGACTCGACGGGCCTCAGTCTCGTCATCGGTGGCCACCCAAAAAACGCTGCAATTTTAAATTAAGTTTTCACTTAAATTTCATCGAGCTAACCAATGAGAACTAACACCAATAAAAAAAGTATCAGATGATTGACATTGGGTGAATATTGCTTGCAGGATAGTAAGGAATGTAATCTGTTTTTTGGTAATAAGAAGCCTATTTATATGACTTAGAACTAGTTCTCTGGTGTGACGCACCAGCGCTGCTCGCCGACACGACGTACACATTACACAAGTCACATTTCTTAATTTCATTAACAACTTCGATAAGACAAATGGGATAAAATTAGTAAGAAAAATATATAAAATATAAATCACGCTTCATGTTAGGTCTGCCATATTTGGAGCTAACTTTACATTTAAGCGTGAATGTTGCTGCTGGAAGAAAAAACAACCCAGCGTAGCTATTGGTGGAGAAGAAAAACATTCGTTTTCCTGACAGAGTGATAAATAAGCCTCGTCGCATGGCTGAGACGATGTCGGGCTTCCTTGATTGCATTATATTCAGCACCGTGAGCTGTTGAGAGCGCGAGTTTGAGTCAGCCAGGTGAGAGGCATTCAGAAGTCAGTTTGAATCCATTTGAAATTCAGTAATGGAATACTGGCCACTGAACCCAGACAAAGACAGCTGTAGTGCAGCCTGCTAACAACCAAGACCCTCATCATCTTGAGATACAAACAAGTGGGGATATATTACGTAAGGCAACTTTTTTTTTATTTACAAGAAATTAATATTTTATTTGACTGCCCAGAGTTGATGTCTGAATGTGCATCGGTAAGAGAGAAATTGCAAAGACAATGACGATGAGAGTGAAAAGGAGTCAGTGTTTCCCTGCACAACTCATCATGGTGGAGGAATTTTCACATTTCCACGGCAAGTGCCAACCTCTCAGAGGACGTTCACTATTGATTTCTCACAATTGATACCCATTTATCATTCCTCCCCGAATAGGATTTAAACTCGGAACCTTCCGAATGTGGGCCGAGTTCTCCAATAAAAACGCTACCCAGTTGGGCGCGATGATAATTGCCTATGGTATTCTTAGGTTTTTTCTGTAAAGTCACGTAGGTAAAAAATCAAATTTAATAAAAGTAAAATATTTTTTTTTACTTGATTACAGCTATCGTGCTGTGACGGTTCCACCTGAAGACGAAAGCTTGTGTTGCCTCCGAAACGTGGTGATTTTTATTTTATTTTTTATTTGACTTTTATTAATTTAGATTTTTTTACCTACGTGACTTTACCGAAAAAACCTAAGAATATGAATACTTGCAGTCAAGAAAGCTTCAAATCTAGAATGAATTGCCTATGATGTTGATGATGATCGTGGTGGTGGTGGTGATAATGGTGATGAAGGAAATAGTACATGTTTTCACCATTGTAATGTTGGATTTGAAGCTTTCGTGACTGCAACGATTCATATTCTTAGGTTTTTTCGGTTAAGTCACGTAAGTAAAACATCAAAATAAAAATAAAATAATAAAAATAAAATAAAAATAAAATAAAATGTGTTGCCTCCGAAACGTCGTGGTTTTTAATTTTTATTTTATTTTTATTTTGATGTTTTACTTACGTGACTTAACCGAAAAAACCTAAGAACATTGTAATGTTCATGGAAACGATGGTCTTTTTTGGTATAATCTTTACTGATTATGGAATATTGTGTTGTTGAATGTATTCTTTCAGCTGAGTGTGTGTATTCCAGGACACCTGGTTGTATTTCAATGTACATTTTATACTGCTCATTTGAGGCAAAATGTTTTTATATTCATGGTAAACTCACCAAAGATGTATGCACTATATACTACTTTTAAACCTTTACGTTTTGTTTGAAATTGAAATACTAATCTGTGCACTGCAGTTATGTGAAATAAGACTATGTTAACTTGTATAAATTTCTGACATCTGTCCCATTTGGCAGAGAAGCTTGTAAATAATGTAATGTTTGTAGCATTTGTGTGCCTTGACGTAACAATGTATATTGAAAGACTGTTCAAGATGAAATTTTATATTTAAAGTTAAGCACTTTTTCCCTTGTTTGTTAAAGTATCTTTTTTTCAAATCATAAAACCATCCATACAGATCTAGGAGTCAGAAACATACCAGCTGCATGTTATGCAACATAATACAAATATTTTTTAATATCCGGTCCTGACCACATCCTTCACCCAAACCAGATTTCATACCCTGTTGTGGTCAGGACTGACCGTTATAATTAGAGTCATTGACAGAAGTCAGGGGCAGCTGTTGTGCATTGTGCTACGATTCCTGCAACCTGAGTTAGATTCTCGACCACAGCTAACATCATTGCCATGGGATATCTGAACCCGTCCTGGTCAGCCTGGTGAAGTATGGTCACACCCCCATGATTGACACGATGCAGGGAGGCCTTCATACAGCTGTGGATAGACAAAGTTCATTACTAATACCAGCAACATGCAAAACTGTCATTCATTCATGTGCTTCTTTCTGAACGGCACTCTAAAATACTAGAAAAACCCTAATGCGCAGTGGTTTTCAAATTATGAATTAAAATTTAACTAGTGAGTTTCCGATTTACACTTGAATGGAACATATTGGTAAACATGAAATTAATATGATCACTGTGCCACGGAAAGAGATAAGTTTTGCATGCATGATATGGGTGTCGATACCAGTGGTGAATGGTGAAGCGATGGTTGGCGCACTGGTGATCCGAGTTCGATTCCTGACCATGGTTGACATCAGTGGCGTGCGGTAAGGTCACACGACCCCACTGACCCACACGGCGTTGGTAGGCCTTCAACTGGCAGTGAATTAACAAAAGAGCTGTACATTGTCTGATTGTTGTTTAATACTATCCCGCATTTTGTGACTCGCATAGCTACCGGAGTACGGGCTGCTTTCAAATGCTGGCTGCTCTCAGCCGAAGGCTTACGGAGATCTTCATGGCTCTGAGTACTGATGTGGCCTGTCCTTGGGCTACTCGCTACATTATTTTAGTCAAACGTCTTCGGCACTTGTAAAGGTGGCGGTCACAGTAACCAGGTTTTCAATTTGGCAACATGCAAGTATTCCAGATGGACAAACAAGGCATGCGAGATGCATATTTCAAATGTGGATCAATGTGAAATGATTGCACATGGTACATTGTTCTGTGTTATTTAATCCTTTTGTTGGTGGCGGTGCCCCAGGCGAAGCACCAACTACGTATCCCGGCTTCAGCCAAACAAGATGTGATGTCGCTGGTGACATCATCACTGGTGCACTGGTGCTGCTCGAATTGGGGTACTTCCAGATGACAGTGCGCGATATTGGGCACAAAAATCCTTACTTCCGCTGAGATCAAACTGTAGCTATGCAAAGTCACATGAAAGCGAGTGCATGGATTAATTGACAAAGGTTATTCTGCCGTGTCTTGTTAGATGTTAGCGGCAATGTTGCCTACAGAACAATATTGACGACTTGGAAAAGTGCTGCGTTAATCATTTTTAGAGACTGTTGCTTTTGTCTAAATTTAAAGCATAGGAACGAGTTGGCGGTTTGTACAATGCGACAATGACCATGTGTTTGTGGTAACTTCTGTTACTGTGATTTGCAAACGCAATGAGGTGCTGACCTGCTCAGGTGCTTGTCTCATGCACAACCCGTTGATCGTGTGGAATCCTATTTTTACCAGAACACCAACATGACATTCCAGTATAACAAGTGCCCCTAAATCGTATGTATTATAGTAAAAAAAATACATATTGGTCCACAATCACTCAAGCTGTTTCTGAGCAGATGAGGATTCATATTTGATTAGGAATTGATAGGACAACCGATGCATTTATAAACACAGGGAGTGCGGGGTGGAGGGAGAGGCCTTCATCCATCTGTAGATTGAGAATGGCTGGAATTTGTGTTATGCTACTTTAAATATAAACACAACGACCTTTGTGTACCCTTCTATGCCACGAACAAATTTTGTCTGTGAGCATTGCCATGTAATTTTTTAAAAACAACTTTGGTCTTTTATCGGAAATGTTACAAAGCTTATTCGTGGATGGTAATTGTGACCAATTCCTATTCATTAAATATGCGACGAGTGCATGTTAATATCCTTTTTATCAAATGACTATGCGTATAGATATATTCACAATTGCCCCTGATGTTAAATTAAAAACTAAGTGTGTTTTGGATTAAAAAATATATTGAAAGCTGCGGCAAAAACAATTCTACCTTGTTACAAAAATATATACTTCCGAAGTGATTAACGGTGCCTCATTCTGCTTAAATGTAACACGTTTAAAGTAGCATATTCTATTCTAAATAGCATTCTAGACACTCTTCGTGTTATACTGTAGAGGGGGCGAAAAAAATCAGTTTCAAAAACATGTTCTTTTCGTGAAAGCTTTGTTATTCGGTTGTGGTGCTTCTTGCAATAAACGAATGGACTGTTTTTTCACATTGTGACTTTTGTGCACGCATTTTGAGTTTTTTTTACTTATGACTTTAGCAAAAGATAGTTGTGTTCGTAAAGAATGGTTACAAAGGAACCCATCTACCCACGTACGTGTCCAGTGGCTGCTTCGCAAGGAAACCACTTGTAAAGTGTGGGACAATTTCCATGAGACGTTGAAATTATTTTCAAGTAGATATTAAAGATGCTTGAGTTATATTCAATAATGGTTTAATTAAACAAACCTTTTTTGTGCCTGTCTCATTTCCTTTACAATTTAAAAATAAATTGTTTCTGAATGTAAAAATTATCACATTTTTTTACATTTATATAATGATTGTACACATCGAAATGGAATTCTAACATTGTTAGAAGAGAGGGGGGGGGGGACCTATTACGGATGAAATTCCAAAATTGATAAAGTAAAATGTTTAATTGAAACAACAAGTCATTTCACACAAAAAAAAATCCAACCGGTTTTTAAACATTGCCTTTAGATTTGAATGCTAAAAGGATCATGCTGTTGGTATGGCAAAATTAATTAAACATTTAAAATCAATTATAATTCATCATTTGTATTAGGTACAACTCAAAGTCACCTAAAACAGAAAAGGTTATATTCTTGTAACAAAAAGTCTTGTGCTGATAATCACAGATTATAATTGCACTGAACACACCAGTATATATAATGTTGGATGATATCTTTTTAATAAGGGCATATGTGTCTTACACAAATCCTTTAGGACCGAGTAACAGAGTATTTGAATAAACCCAGCGATATTTCTACCACAATGTGGTTAGAACGGTACGACAGTCATTATTGGCATC